GGGCATTCGGATACAACATTGTAAGTTTTGTTCTGCATTTTCATGTTTTGCTATTCTTACTTTGAGAGTATCTAAGGAGTTAGTAATGTAACTTGTGTTAATGATATATAGGTAGGGATCCCAATTGCGGCTGGAGTGTTGCTGCCATTGACTGGAACCATGTTGACTCCATCAATGGCGGGGGCTCTCATGGGTGTGAGTTCTCTTGGTGTCATGACTAATTCTTTACTTCTGAGGTACAGATTCTTCTCGAACCGAAAAGACAATAATGTCAAATGGGAACCAAAAGAGGGAACAAAGCGACCACATGAAAACACAAGATTAAAGGAAAGCTCTTAAACCCGGGCATTGAGGCACGGTATTGTTTTGCAGAGATAGATCTCTTTTTCCGGCTGTTTACTTCAACCTTATTGACTACTTGTCAAACTCTCAGTCAGGCAAGGGTATTAATGACAGGGTCTGTCAGGGTAATGATGACTTGGAGAATCATCGATTATTCATCTCTTTGTAATGTTTCAAACATTTGCTTTTAGCTTGTGACTCATACACAGAAGAACACATTCAATAACTCTACATTGGGCCTTTGAGACTCTGTAAATTCTTTATAAATAAATTATATAAACTTTACTGAACCTTCATGAGAGCCTCCTTCTGCTCTGAGTCTCTCATAGAGTCATAGTCTCTCATAGACTTATTCACTCAAAACAAAACTCATTGCGACACAGCAAGACCTTCAGGCTACAATCTCAATACAAAGTGTGGAACGAGACAAAATACAAATCAATCAATAAAATAACAAGCACATAATTTTATATATCAACCCTCAAAAATAAAACAAAAAAATTCACCTTTTTCTCTCCTATAACCAATCACACTTGTGAAACAATGAATAAAAAACAATCTCTTTCTCCTGAACTGGTTGTGTATTCGTGTTCTAGGAACTTGGACGGCACCTTGAAAATGTTCGTCTGATCCACCAGCTTGCAGATCAAACCATATAAGTCATTCCAACTTGCATCAGATGCGAATGCGGAACGCTTAGGTTTGTTATCCCTCTCCTGCAGTTCTTCCTCAAGAAAGCATACATGTAATTTATCACCAGCTTCTTCAGAAACCAAGAATCCTTTGTCGCTCTTATATCCCCATGTCCCAGTAGATACACGACCCCTGACTCTTTCGCTTTGTGTATAAACGACAATTCTTTTTCTAAACTCTGCTCTGCATCCAGCGCTGGTGTTTCATTCGAAGGACCTGCAACAAAATCCGTGCTGGCTCTTCTTTTCTCCCAGGGTCGCTTGTCTGTCTCGTGCTCAGCTAAGAGCGGCAGTCCAAGTGAATACACACTTCCATTGGGTGCTATCAAAACTCTGGACAGAGTCGTGTCGTCCTCTGAATCCGTATTATTATGGTCTCCGTCACTCTCAAGCGAACGCTCTTGTGCTTCCTTCCGTATAAATTTCTCTAGGCTCTCAATCAAGATTTGCTCAAAGGCCTGGTGACTTTCCTTCCGCACATCTTTGTATCCATACCTGATTTAAACACGTGAAATGTATCAAATCTATAATGTTATCAAAAGGTACATCATTATAAACTAAATGAAAAGCGGTTAGCTTTGTTTACCTGGCAACACAGCGGAATAGATGATAGCTTCTTGGGCAGACACGTCTGAAAAGAAACCTCTCAGTCTGAGGCACGCTTGGAACAGGGACATATTTTATACACACGAAGATAACCATGGAATGGATTGCAGGAAGGGTGGTTAGAAAATGACCAAATATTGCTGGAACTCCTTTTGCTAGCTCATTGTAAAGCAGACCAATACCAGGTGCTCTAATTGTCCCTAGATTACTGCCCAGTTCCCGAAGTAGGTCCATTGGTAGCTTCTTCTGGACTTCCGTTTCATACTTGAGTTTACTCCCGTAGTTCCAAACGAACATTATAAAAAACATGATGGTAGCAAAGACCAGGATGATCCAACTTCCGTCAGCCACACTTGATATAACTGATGAGAAGAAAACCAGTTCGACTCCCAAGGAAACAATTGCAAACAAGCTCACGACTATGATGTTCGTCTGCCAGATAAGGAGCATGATAAGGGTCACCAAAATCGTCGTAGTCATCATAATTCCCAGTTCTGCGATGCCTGAAGATACAAAAATCCAAAACCAGAGGCAAGGGGTGTGTTTAGGATTGACTGAAATTTTTTCCTAAGTTGCCCAAACTAGATGCTAGGAGAAGGAAGTATTACCATATGCGTTTCCAATCATGAAGATGTTTGAGATAGAGCAGACAACGATCAGGCACACCACCAAAAGGAACCAGTTTAGAACCGGTATATAAATCTGTCCAATGAATTTCTTCGAGGTGTGAATGATTTTAAGACGTGGGAAACAGCCCAGTGCTATTGACTGTTTGATGCATGTAAATGTGGCTGTCGTCATTGAACGACTGGCAATTAGAGCAGCGATATTAGAAATGAGAAAGACTGGCCAGAACAAAAAACCTGAAAAAACAAAGATTAATAAAGAATTAGAGACGTGAAACGAGCGGCAAAATCAAGCCAGCAATGAAGGAATACCCTTGTTGATCTTGACGTACTGTGGAAGCTAGTGGATCTTACTTGGAACTGACGCAAAGAAAGCATCCCCAGCATGGCTGATATTCTCAGAAAGGTATGCTGCTTGGCCCAAATAACCCAACAAGAGGCAAGGTAACACCAGAAGTGTAAATGTAAGCTGCAGATAAACAATACCACTGAATAAGTTCAGATGACTAAGAAAGACGACTATCGCAAGAAAAGAAGCAAGAAATGAGTATTTATCTCCTTAAACTACCTGGACAGAGTGAACAGAAAAGAAGCTAAGATCTGCAAACATGGCCTCCGATCCTGAGACAAAGATCCGCAAGTATAGAAATGAGCAATGATGTTTAGTCAAAACTCAAAAGGTCAATTTAATATCATTAAGATCTTCAAAATCTCTATCGCAGAGTATAAATTTACCAGTTGCACATAGAACGCAACCCCCAAGCGCATACCAAGCATTAACAGAGTTTCTCTTGAAAAAGAAATAGATATACGCTGGATTGAACGCCCTAAAAACGCTGCTGTCATATTTAACGAGGTTGTAGATCCCAATGCCCGCAAGACTAAAAAACCATATAAGCAAAGCAGGACCCAAAGTGAGTCCCAGTTTGCTGGCTCCATATTTCTGCACACTGAACAAGATCACAAGAAAGCTGACTGATATCATGACCACCTGATCTGCAAATGAAGTCACAGTTAGATATTATTCCCAAAAGGCAGTCATTAATCATGTCCATAATCAGGCTGATGAACGTCAGCTACAGTTACGAGTTACCTTGTTCTATAGCACCAACTCCAATCTTCAAACCACGAACAGCAGACATTACTACGTCAAAAAAAGAGGTTATAGTTAGAGGCATATTACATTTTCACTTCATACACATCGACCACAGGAAAAGGTCAAACCATCATCTGCCAGCAAATTGATATATACCTGACATTGCAGGCGTAACAACGGAATCAGCAAGCACCATAGCAGTGCCGGCAAGAACTAAAACCAGAAGAAGCTTTTTCAAGATCATTGACCCCTCAAGTTTTTCTTTTATTTTCAAGGATCTTTCAAGTTCCGGAGACGGAACCTTCAAACCGAATCCCGATATGCGAGCATCTGACGGAAGTTGATTCGGGATAAGGCTAACATTTGCGTTTCTACAGATCAACGAATACAACGCAAAAGTACCACCTGCAGTTCATTTCCCAAAACTTAATCCTTTCACCTTAACAAAAACAAAAATTCCAATTTACCACCAGATAGAGGAAAAAAGTAAGTACCTTCACCATCGTCATTGGCCCAAAGAACAAAATGTACATACTTTACAAGAGGGAACAGTATCAACGTGTATATAACCAATGACAAGGCTCCGATTATATCTTCCTTGTCGTTAATCGGAGATCTGTTGAACATTACACTGAAAGTGTACAATGGACTCGTTCCAATATCGCCAAATACAACCCCTAGAGTCTGCAAAGCAAGTATGAGCTTCCTTCCTATGCTAGAGTCCTGCAAAAATCAGATAACCAAGCTTCTTCAACTTAATCAAACACTTGCATAAATCAAAAAAACCATCAAAGAGCTAATTACTTGATTAAGCAAGCTTTGAGAATCAGATCGGAATGAAGAAGAACTAATTTTTTTCAAAATATGCTGACCTCGATTTCGTTTTTCTGAGTTCCGGGGATTTCAAGTGCGTCGACGTCGAAGGAGTCAACGGCGGGGCTAGTTCGAATCAAACGCTGCTCCACATTGTCGTCCTCGTCGTCGGAATCCATTTCCGCGTGCTGATGCTCGTCGTACACCTCGTCGTCGTACTCATCGTCGAAATCGTCGTAATCGTTCTTAACCCAGCGCGACAATGACGTCGTAGAATCATCTCCGGTTATCTCATCATCCATCTCAGACCCGCCGTCTGCACTGCTTCCTTCTTCCACGTGAAACATCACTCACCGTCGGGGGAAACAAAAAAAAAAAAAACACTGACGCCGGAAGGAAAGTAGATCTCGGAGATTTGTGATTCAGATTCGAATCTGATCCAAGGAAACGGGATTGATTAGAAAAAACGCTGATTGAGAGAGAATTGAGAGATAGAGAGAGAGGGAGAGATGATTTTACACACAGATACATACAATGGAGAGGACCTGGCACGAATGAGAAACAAGCTTACACGTGTTCAACCGGAATTGATTCGGAAAATCTGTCTCAGACCGGTGGTTCAAGGATAATAACCGAAATCTCAGCAGCTAATGAACCGGGTCGTCGCTCAAGTCAAAATTAGATTTAAATATTGAATATTTCATACTACTAGTCTAGTGTTGAAGATGAAGTAAGCGTTGCGTCTACGACTCTTCATCTGACTACACTCACCTTTAAGAAGATCAATTCAAAGAGAGAGAGAAGAAACGAGAATCTTCACTAGTCATGGCTTCAGCTGCGATTTCTTCACTCTCGTATCACTTCCGTTCACAGGAACCGATCTTCTCATCGAAAACTCCAACCTCTGTTTCGACGGCCTTAACGGGAAGGAGAACATTTGGATCTATCAAAGCAGCTCAAGTGAAAAGCCATGAGAACCCGAGACGACGCACTCAGAACGTTGAAGGCGATCTCTTTGTCGGTAAATAAAAGCCTGTTTATTTATTTTTTGCTAATTGAAACAAAGAGAGGCCAATAACGCTCTGAATCGAATTTTGCAGACAATACTTGTATCGATTGTGATACATGTCGTTGGATGGTTCCGGTATGATTTTCTTCTTCGAAATCTTTAAAGCTCCTGTCTTTTAGGTTATATGAAACTGATCAACAGCTCCATGGTTTTGTCGTGATTTAATTAGATTGGGGATGTTTCATTTTGGGTATTGGGAAGTCCATGTCTTAGTCTCAATCTCGAAGAAGGATATAATATAACTCTGGATTTTTGTTAGATTTTTCGAAATGGCCGTTAAATGTGATGCTATAGTTGTTCTTTGGCGGGCCAAAGCAGCTACGAGAGATGAACAAATTCATTAACAGCCTTGTTTGTTTGATCTGTGCAGGAAGTATTCACCAGAGTGGACAACATGTCTGCGGTTATTAAACAACCAACCTGTAAGGAACAAAGGCTTAATGTTCTTCAGGTGCCATAGCAACCTCTGTTTTCCTTTTCTTTATGAGAGTCATTGAGGATTGTTTTGAATCTTTTATCCTCTGTTTGATACCTTTTGTGGGTAGCTGTAGGTGCAAAGGTTCCTCATTTTGTTTTACTTTTCAAATTGTAAAGATATATATAGACTGTACTGCTATAATGGAAATGTCTGCTATAATGTTATAGACTGAAAATTTCCCTATGATGACAATTTCCTTTTTCTGATTACTCATGGTTTCTTGTTTATTTCAGGCCTTGTTATCCTGTCCTACGGGATCTATTCGCACTGAAACTCCACCTACTGACATAGTGGAAGCTCAAGAAACCTTTCCACTTGCATTGGACAAAGACACACTCCCTGTAGTTTCTCATTCCTTGAGCTTTCTTTTATCTTGTCTTCTGTTTGGGTTCCTACTTTCACCGAGGCTGATAAATTGAGATTTGTGTTACGCTCAGGGAGTTTTTCATTGTGGGTTTCATTCCAAGAAATCATATGGAGCAACTTCCTACTTGATCCTTCATCATGAGGGAAATATACTTGTTGATAGGTATAGATATATTCTCTTTGTTGTTCTGAAGCTTATTACATTGTAGATGCAATGATTTTCTTGATAGACTTGGTTATGTAAATTAACTTTGACACAACTGATATTCCAAGTTTTTGGTGTTTGCTGCAGTCCCAGGTATGTAGAGAAACTTGCTGGAAAGATTGAGAAGATGGGTGGTGTTCGCTACATGTTCTTGACACACAGGTAGTTTTGATAACCACCAAAAGTAGAAACTCCATTGTTTTCTCTCTTACAATGATAAAGCTTCTTCATTGTTCAGGGATGATGTTGCGGATCACAAGAAATGGGCAGACCGATTCAACTCTACCAGAATTCTGCATTCTGAAGATGTATGTCCCTTTAAACTTATCTCACCTCTCTTGCCAAACTTTCCTCACATTCTTAATAAGATTCTCAACATTTTTTATCCTGTTAGAAAAAAGATTATGTGGTTTAGATCCTTCCAGAGAAACAATTTTGTGACTAAAATCCAGCTTTAAAGACAATTAAGGGATCTTGTTAGGTTGAACAATCGACCTCTGATGTGGAGTTAAAGCTGGAAGGAAGTGGACCATGGAGCATCTATGAAGATGTCGAGCTTATACACACTCCCGGTCATTCACAAGTAAGTCTGTCCAACTGCAAGCAAGAACATATGAAAACAAATGTTCAATCTTTTGTTAACAAAAAAAGTTGTTTCATTATGATCTTGGGATATAATAAGAGCTTTTTACAAAATCACAGGGATCAGTGTGCTTGTTCCATAAGCCCCTCAAGGCATTATTCACTGGAGACCATGTAGGAATGACAGAATATGGATTGAGCATTTTCGAACAGTACAATCAGAGTTCAGGTAAATACCCAATCAGTTGACTTTCTTTGAATATAATCGTTGAATGAAGCATATTGATGATTTCTGTCTGTTGTTCTGTCAGTGCCTCAACAGCTCGAGAACGTAGAAGGATTGTTCAACCTCGATTTCAACTGGCTATTGCCAGGTTAGTGCATTTTATGCTATTTAGCTATATCTGGTTTGCAAAGTTCTTTTTAGAAAGAAACAAATGGAGATTTTGGATTTTGATGGCGATTTTGTATTGATAGGACATGGAAGAAGAGTACATTTCAAAGATGGAGAAGAGAAGGCCAAGAATCTGGACGCACTTGTTCAGAAGCATAGAGAGAAACAAGTTGTTTCTCTTTAGCAAGCCCGGGAGAGCTTGAGACAAACTTTGTATGCTGATTCTTAACCGGTCAACCAAACTAAACCATACCGAATTTGTATGCTGATCACTAATACTAATGTCTCCACTTATATGAACTTGGCGCGTAAACATTAATGATTTGATTTCCAACGCTAGTGATGTATTTCTATGTAACATATTGTAAACCGACTTAAACGCATATTCCATGATGAGCAAGCTTTTTCTGTCTACTGATCTCGGATGCATAAGTATATTTGATAAAGTTTTCTCTTCTAGATAGTTGTAAGAGTTATTTCATATAATAAAAAATTGCACTCATAACCATTCACAAATTTAGCAGTGGACTAGCGATCTATAATTTATGTCACCAAAGTTATAACATGCTAAAACTGACGATGTTCATTCAGAGTCACTGAACTTTATTTCAACCACTCCACTAAATTAGTGAGATGTCATCCAAAAACTGCCACGAAACATTCCCACTAAACTTATTAAAGTTATTGAAATTCTTTATGCTTCCCACCACAGCCCAAAAAAGCGTTACAATAACTAAGCACATCAATAACGTTATGCTATATATACAAAGCTATCGTCTAACCAAATATTCGCAGCATTAATCTCATCACAAATATTCAAACCATTGTGACAAAGAAAAAACAAACGGATGGGAAGTGGAATGCTAATGACAATGGTTATAGCAGTAGCTTTCTTCATGATCGGTTCCGACAACGTCCGCGTGGCGACAGCTCAGGTATGTGGAGCTAACTTGTCGGGACTGATGAATGAGTATCAACGGTACGTCAGCAACGCCGGACCAAATTCTCCGCCACCGTCTCGCTCTTGTTGTGCTCTGATCCGTCCAATCGACGTACCTTGTGCTTGCCGTTACGTTTCAAGAGATGTTACGAACTATATTGATATGGACAAAGTGGTTTACGTTGCTCGCTCTTGCGGCAAGAAGATTCCCTCCGGTTATAAATGTGGAAGTAAGTACTACTAGTTTACTATATACATCTTATTTATTTTGTATGACTTTATTAAGCGTATGTCATAACTTGGATTTGAATATATATTAGGTTACACCATTCCGGCTGCTTAAAAGAGGAAGGATACTAGCAGAATTTGTACTAGCTAAAAGATTAATAATATGTATTTGAGTGTCTGAATAATGATGATGATGTCAGGATATGTGTCCTGTAATAAGTTTATGTAAGTCAACATGGAGGTCATGGTCGAAAGATCATGAGACGGTAATAGTTTGTGACTTGGGATTGGGAGTATTTAAATCAGATCATGTGATATCGCTTTCCATCAGGTGTTTCCATCCGTGTAGTTGTTGACACTTCACAAAAAGAAATACGGTGAGAAAAACAAGTAAAAAGTACAATAAAAAACATTACAATTCCAAATATTAAATTATGGTCTGTACTGTTTATCAGACCAAATACAGATATAACCAAACAATGACATTGTAATTAAACATTTAGAAAAAAAAAATGAGGAAACATTAACATTAAATTAATTAATCCACATTTTATCATCTAATTTAGCGTAATGACATTGCCATATGTGTGATGACTGATGAATGACTTAGTTTATGACAAAAGAAAAAGTAAATAATATATATGTGAAAATCAGGCCCACAGGTAACATTTGTTTCCTCCGACACATAAAAGTGTAGTGACAAAACCACGAGCTTCCCGTTTTACAATACTTGCGGCTTCTGCTTCTTCAGCCTCTTGTTTTCGTTCTGTATCACTATATCGACTCTAACCTTTATAAGACCCAATCCTCCAACTCCAAAACACATCGCAGTATCCAAAGATCAAAACACATTGTTAAGAGATACAGAAGAAGAAGAAAATGAACGCCGGAAAGCAAGCTTCCTGGGCGGTGGCGACGGCGATCGCGGCCGTGGAAGTGCTCAAAGACCAAGGCGTTGCTCGCTGGAATTACCCTCTCCGTTTACTCCACAAAAAAGCCATGGCTAACATCCGTACCATCAATGTCCCGTCTCGTCCCTCCCCTCCTTCTTCATCATCTTCTTCTTCGGCTGATTTCATCAGATCCAAACAGGCCATGACCACATCATTTGAGAAAGCGATGGAGCTTAGCTGCTTTGGTCCCACCACCGTTAGATTTTAGATCTCTCATTGTATTCTCGTATTCGAGTGTGCGTTTATGTATGACTTGAGTTTTTTTTTTTTTTTTTTTTTTAGCAAGATTATCATAAATTAGCTCACATTCAGCTTAGTTAATCAATTTTAAAATTTGAAATAAATCTGGCTCATGTCATGGGTTATGTTTTATATAGATGTGACCAAAACAAACCGGAGTGTAAAGAAACCGATAAAACAGTCCTACACCACAAAGAAAAGTTGACTCACTCAATAAAGACAAATAAATTTACATCACAAAAATGATTTGTACCTTGCGTCTCACAATTGCTCTTAGACTTTCTTTGCTATGATACCATTTTTATCAAACCATGATTATTTTCTATTAAAAAGTTCATTATGTGTAATATTTTGTACATAGTCAGGTTTATATACGTATAGACCAAAGCAAATCAGTCTTGATATGGCTACATGAGCTTAATTATACGGTTATACCATACCGGTTCATAAAGAATTTAGACACAGTAAAGTCTATATATATGCATCACATCAACAAGATAAGCTAAGAATATGCCCAAGATATGGCTCTGATCTTGTTCAGTTCAACCATTTTTGTCAAAACCATTTTGTTCAGTTCAACCATTTTTGTCAAAACCATTTTGCCAAGTTCTTAATCAAGGATAAGCCTCACTAACCATTATACCAAAACCACACACCACGCGGATAACTTAAGTCAACACCTACCCTTAACCCATCTGAACCTAATCATATCAATACACAATATTATATTTGACCGACCTCATGAGGGTGATGTGCTTTTTAAAGAAATGATAAACCTATTTCCTTTTCCGTAGACGAATTTTTGATTAACTTGTTCCAAATATTTGATTTTTTTCTTTTTCTGAAACTTATATACTTTTTAAAAATACTTGCATAATAAGAAATCAATAATCTCAGTGGAAATAAAGGTGATAGATACAGTGAACCTACTTTTGTTGACTAAACTTTTGATTCTAAAGAAGACATGAAGCAAAAGAGATTACAAAGACGAAGACTCTCATCGTCTTCTCCCTCTTTTCTTTCTTTTCTTTTCCTAGTCTCTCTCTAACTTGTTGATGATCTTGAAGCAAGAACCATGAGCTTCCTTCACAGATTTCTGTCGGATGATAAGACCAAAGAATCCTCATCGGCCCAGTTCTGTCAATTTAGTTGCATCGAAGAGTTGAGAGAATCAGGATCTTGTTCATCTACTTGTCTTTACGAGTGTCCTACCCTCTGCAAGATCGTCGAAGCTGCAGGTCTTTCTCCACCTCCGGTGACTCACCACGTCGTAAACCTAACGAAGACCTTAATCATCGCGGCTTCCTCTATCATCACAACCCTGTTTCTCCTCACTTTACTTGTCCTCTGCTTCAAGTTCTACAAAAGGAGAAGAAGATCGATAACAATATCAAGAAGGTGGAGCATGGAGGAGGCTAGGAACTGGGACTTCGATGGACCGTCACCGCCGGTTATCATCGACCATCCGATTTGGCATATCAGAACGATCGGGTTGAATCCAACGGTTATAAGCTCGATCAAAGTGTGCAAGTACAGTAAAACAGATGGTGTTGTGGAAGGAACGGATTGTTCTGTTTGTTTAAGCGAGTTCGAAGAAGAAGAGTCGCTTAGGTTGTTACCAAAGTGTAGACACGCTTTTCATCTTTCTTGTATTGACACTTGGCTTAGATCACACACCAACTGCCCTCTTTGTCGTGCTCCTATAGTCTTGGTCAGTGATGATGATGGTGGTGCGGGTTTAGAGGAGATCCGTGAGGAAAATGGAGAAAGAGATGAAGAAAATGAGAGAGATGATGAAGAAGAAAGAGATGGGTTTGTTAGTATTGTTATTAGAGATGGCGTAGCGGATGAGTCACAGCAGCGAGTGAGAAGATCAGTGTCGTTGGATTCGTTGTCAGGTTTAAGGGTAAGTGAAGTTGGTGCTGGTAGAGGAAAAGATAAAGTGAAGAGAGGAGGCAATAATATTGGATCTTCTATTATTGGGAGGTCAAGTTTCTTGAAGAGATCAATCTCTTACGATGGTAAGTAGTATACTAGCTTCGTTGCTATGAATAAAAGAAGTGCTTTAAGTAAGTTTCTTGAAGATGGTTGCGAATGAAGAAAATCAGATCAAAACCGGAAAGATGGATTGTATGTATGTATGTATGTATGAAGATGATGCAAGAAAATGATTTTGCAATTTTGTTTATGAAAGCTGTTACTCTTGTCAAAGTTAAGAAGAGTGCTTACAGCTTATGCTCTGTTTAAGATGTACTTAGGTTGTAGATTTAAGTTGATAAGTATGAAATACACCAAAAGTTTGATTGTGAATGTCACTCCTATTTTATTGTTCTTGAACTTAAATTAAAAAACACAAATTTAAATGTGTATGATTTGTGAATGTCACAAATTCAAACTCTTAGTTTGATTTTGAATGTCACTATGTAGATTATAATCAAAAACACAAATTTAAATGCACTTTCTGTTGATGGACATTGAATTACACAATTTTTAGTATAAGAGAGTGAAGAAGAAGGTATTTTATGGACATTTGTATTCAATAGTTTGTCATCAAGAGTCAAGACTAACCTTTTTACAAAACATATTGAACATATCGTGCACAAGATTTACTAACCAGTGGGCGCAACTCCCGGACCACCGCGGGGAACAGATCGACCTACAGGACCAGGGAGGCCAAGAGAACCACGGGGGGGGGGGAGAAGGAGAGAGAGGACCACGACCTTCAACTCCGGTACCATCTAGGGCTCTAGCAATCAGGGCACGGTACTGTGCTGGTGGAGCCATTAGGTGGGCAGCTATGGCTCTTGCGACAACCGTGCGAAGACGTGCGAGCTCCTCCATCTGCTTCACAAGCGAAGCATGGATGAGCCTGAGTAATTCTGAACCACAAAGGTTCAACAATACACTCAGAAACTCAGCTGAATCTTGCTGCATGCCAAGATAATAAGAAGTAGATACAATTATATGTCAAAAATGAAACTATTGCATAGAAAATAAAGTCACAAACCTCCTTGATTGCCTCAAAGGGTTAAGGATACCCTCAAAGATATTGATGTGAGAAGTGATAGGAGAAGGGAGGTGGAGAGTTGATTGTCGAATGAGCTCTGGAAATGCCATGAGGTATGAGAAATTGCCCCTGACAAAAGGATTGAGGGGTAATTGCTGGATGAGCTGCACAAAGGGAGAGCAAGCAAGCAGGGCTTGCAGACTTGCGTTGAGGTAGCACAGAAGATGAGGGTTATCTAATCATCTCCTAATGGGAGCGCACTGGTGATCGTTGAGCAATTAGGAAATTGGTTGTTAGGAGAAACAAAATCGAAAAACACAAAACACAAAGAAATGGAATGTTACTCTTTTTGTTTTGTTTTGTGGTTTTAATGAATGTTACTCTTATTTTATCGTTCTTGAACTACTATATTATAGGTAATCAAACAATTATTTTATCGTTCTTGAACTACTATGATCTACACCAAAAGTTTGATTGTGAATGTCACTCTTATTTTATCGTTCTTGAATTACAATGTAGATTATAATCAAACACAAATATTAGTGCACTTTCTGTTGATGGACATTGAATTACACAATTTTAGTATAAGAGAGTGAAGAAGAACGTATTTTTAAGGACATTTGTATTCAACAGTTTCTCATCAAGACTAACCTTTACTCAAAACATATTAAAACCTGAACTATTATTTTGTTGCATTTCAAACCCTCATATTCGCTTACTTTTGCAAATCAACCCCTACTTTTAACGCAGCCGTTAAGTCTCCGTTTGTTCGATTAGTATTAATAAACGCTGCGTTTATCGAGATTATTAGATGATTTACTACTGCCTTTTTCACCGAGAAAGGCAAACAACTCTGCCACCTGACTTCCTTCACCGGTTAAGTCATTCCGCCGTATAACTCTTCTTCTTCATCCATATCTCCGTCTTCACCGAGAAACGCTCACTGAGATTCTTCTTCTTCTTCAAGGAGATGTCTTCTTCTTCCTGAATTTAGGTCAGACTCATCATAGAATTTTGTCCGATTCTTCACTGTTTCAAGTATCTGTAGATCCGAATGAATTGGTGCCATGATTTAGGTCACTATATCCACGATAATTAGGGGTTTTCTTAAGTGAAATTGCGGATTAAAATGTCATCTGCTTACAAATCATTCTCTTTTTTTTTCTCCTCGATACTAACGTCACGCTATTTTTGTTGATAGTGGGGTATACAGTATTATTTTTATTAATTACCATTGACTAAAACGATGAATCTTTGACTTTGACTGAGAGAAAACTTGCCAAAAATTAATCCTTAATCTATTCTCGATTGAGGAGTAGCAAGTGTGTTTGCATTAGTTAAGTTAGATTTCCACTTCCCCTTTAAAGAAAAGAATCAAGATACATAAGGAATTTTGGCTTTGAGAAAAAAAGCTGACGGTGTGGGGGTCCAAACTGAAACCTGACACGACACAAACACTTTGGTTTCTCCGTCTTTGTTGGAGAAATGCATTCACATCCACTTCTTTAATTTGAAAACAATAAAAATCAAAACTTTAATTTGAGAAGGCCTCTTCTCTTTCAGATGCCTTGTCGCTTATTGTTCCAGATTCGAAATACCCAACTTTCCTTTCTCTATGGCAGCCTCTCCCACGCACTTGTCTCTCTCCATTGATCCTTCTTCTTCCACGTCTCTCCTTCATCTTCAAACCCAAGCGGTATGTGTCTAATTTCTCTCTCTCCCTCTTTCTTCTGGAATTTGATCATGGCTTTGTTTATTCATTCTGTCCCGTTTTGATTCAGATCTTCGGTTCCAAAGAAAAATTAAAGGAATTTTCGAAAACCCAATTGAGAATTCCCGCTTCTTTCAGGTAATTTACGGTCTTTAGTGACATTTCATTTCAGTTTAATACCATTTCGTTATTGAATCATAACTTTGATTTGGGATTGCTGATGTATATTCTTCGCTCAATCATTATGAATTAGTTTCCTAGGTTGTATCAATAGTTTGTCCTTTTTAAGATTTGTTTCGTGGTGCTTCAAATGGCAAAAATCTCTGTGGAGATGTTTTGTACTATCTGATTTCGTTTCTTTTTTGTTGTGCTTGCAGAAGAAAAGCAGCGAATTTGCAAATGATGGCTACAGGAAAGACATCTGGACTGACTCAGGAAACTAATACAATTGATAGAGAAAATGACAATGATGTATTTGACGACATGAAACAGCGGTTCCTCTCCTTCAAGAAGCTTAAGTACATGTAAGTGGCAGTGAACCTAAATCTTCTCTCAGTTGTTATCTCATCTAATGATGATATACTCGTTGAGCAGGGACAACTTAGAACACTACAAGAGTCTAGCAGATGCTCAAGCTCCTAAGGTAGCTGCTTTACACTTTAACATATTGTTCATGAATGACTTAGATATTCTCTGTAGTTTAGTTTTTGTCTTGGAAAAACAATAGTTGCTAACAGTGTAAGCAAACAGTTTCTGGTGATTGCTTGTGCAGACTCTAGGGTTTGTCCTTCTGCCGTCTTGGGATTCCAACCTGGTGAAGCGTTCACTGTTCGTAACATTGCAAATTTAGTACCTTCATACGAGGTACACACAATCTAGTGAAGACCGCCAATTTTGTTTCTTGAATTTTTTAGGGACTGGTTCACATTTGATCTAATATCATTTGCTTGTTGCAGTCTGGTCCTACTGAAACAAAAGCAGCTCTCGAATTCTCTGTGAACTTTCTTAAGGTCAGTATCTTATCTCTTACAGTTATTCTAATATACACACAATGTTTTAAAACAGTTATATATATTACACTCGTTATGTAATCTATTAAACTTGTAGGTGGAGAACATATTAGTTGTTGGTCATAGCCGATGTGGAGGAATTCAAGCTTTAATGAGCATGGGAGACGAAGTAGATTCCAGGTTTTTAAACCAGCTCTTGGTCATTCTATCGAAGAAAGAAAAGACCTGTTTATTAGTTGTTGATCTTGGCCATATTTCGTTTTTTTGTTAACAGAAGTTTCATACAAAACTGGGTAGTTGTTGGGAAAAAGGCAAAGGAAAGCACAAAAGCTGTTGCTTCAAACCTCCATTTTGATCATCAGTGCCAACATTGTGAAAAGGTGATGTCTTTTTTGGTGAATCAGTGTAACTTTTAAGGACTTTTATCAGTCGATGAACTTATATGTATATGTGTAAGCGTGTGCAGGCGTCGATAAACCATTCGTTAGAGAAGCTTCTTGGTTATCCGTGGATAGAAGAGAGAGTGCGAGAAGGATCGCTGTCTCTCCATGGCGGCTACTATGATTTTGTTAACTGTACGTTTGAGAAATGGACCGTCGATTATGAAGGAAGCAGAGGGAAGAAAGAAGGCAGTGGGATTGCTGTTAAAAACCGGTCGGTTTGGTGATAATGACGAATAATCTTCATACGATTTTTCTTTCAAATTTTTTTAGAAACATCAGAGACTACTTCCTATGTGTTTGTTGCAGACTTGCAGTGGTGTGTTCGAATAAGTCTGAGTGAGGTTTAATGTTTGTTTTTTTATCATCTACGGTTTGTGAATTCATGTTTTTTTCTGTTTGGTTCTCTTGATATGATCATTTTGTTCAGTGTAGTGGTATCAGAGGCATACAAAACAGAGATCAAAAACTAGTTACAAATAAATAATTCGTTCGGTCTCATTTATTTATTATAGATAGTTACAAATTAAAAGAATTAGAAATGTTACAGTGGATACTCATCAATCCTACATCTTCACATATGCCAAAAGAATTTGGTTACAATAAACTTGAAACATAAAGAGGTTTAAGTTTGAGGAGACAATTCAAGGGCTGGAAGTTGTGGTTGCGGGGAGAGACGGCTGAGTGGTGATCAAAGGAACGGGCTGGAGGTTGTAGGAGGGCGATCCAGGCGTTGCAGGAGGGAACTAAGGGTAAACGGGTTTTTGAAATTGAGGGACAGGAGAGAGAAATTGAGGAAAAGCGGGTGTTGGATTGCTTGGAAAACCGGGATTTGGAAATTGAGGGTTAGGAGAGGGAAACTCAGGAAAAGCGGGTGTTGGATTGCTTGGAAAACCGGGATTTGGAAATTGAGGGTTCGGCGAGGGAAATTGAGGAAAACGGGTGTTGGATTGCTTGGAAAACCGGGATTCGGATATTGAGGGAGAGGTGTGGGATTGTTTGGAAAACCTTGCCCGGAAACTGAGGATAACCGGGTGTTGGATTGGTTGGGAAACCGGGTGTTGGATTGGTTGGGAAACCGGGTGTTGGATTGCTTGAAAAACCGGTCTTGGAAACTGAGGAAAACCGGGTCTTGGATTGGTAAGAAAACCAGGTCTTGGAAACTGAGAAAACCGGGTGTTGGATTGGTCAGAAAACCAGGTCTTGGAAACTGAGGAAAACTGGGTGTTGGATTGGTCAGAAAACCAGGTCTTGGAAACTGAGGAAAACCGGTCTTGGATTGGTTAGAAAACCGGGTCTCGGTAATCGAGGGAAATGGAGTCTAAAACTTTTTGGTTTTAACGTTTGTTTCTTTGTACGATGTTTTGCTGCATGGCTTGAAGTGATCATGGAAGAGAACATCAGAGCCATGACAAGAGAACGAGTAAGATGATTTTAGATGAGGCCATACTGTAAGAGAAAAATAAAACTCTTCAATGAATTGATGTGTGTTTTTGAATTGTCATTCTTTTCCTAAACTTGGTTTATATAGGAGCAAACTCAGAATAGATAAGACTACAATTTCTTTTCATTTGACTTTTTTTTTCTTTTTATAGATTTACCAAACGGTTTCATTATTAAGAACAAAAAACAGGTAATATTGTTACTATTTTGTTGCTATTCGTTTGAATATATTACTTGTATCAACAAATTAAGCATATCCACAAGATATAGAAATGATCATGTCTCGTCAAATATCACTGTTTTACATCAATATCTAGCGAACCATAACAGCAGTTGCATTACTTGATCTCATGCTTCTCTCTAATGCTAACCTTCCCAAAACACTTCTTGCCCACTCGCCAAAATAAGTCTCATTGTATCCAATCATAGCATTCTTATAGACCAACGACATACATCGCCTATCAGTATCAGGAAACTGACATGTTTCCCCAACCGGGTCATGCCAAGAACCTTCATGTCTCATCCCTGACCAATTAGCTCCCCATTTGTACACAAGCTTGACCAACTCCTGCAAGCTTAAGCCATCCTTTTGGGAAAAACTCCATCACACTACTATTTTTATCCATTAGAACCAAATTAGTAAGCTGTGCACCGTGTGGTGACACTAATACATCAGTCATTCTCATCAGCTCCACCTGCTCACAAAATGTTAGATTATTTGAATAAGAAACCTTTACTTCACACCCATCTACTCTCTCGCACTCTCCTCTAAAGACGTTAATCACGGCTGACTCATTTTTGAATGATCTTGGTCCCGTTCTCATAAGCAATGTCATACCGATTCGCGGTTTTGATGTCTCGGATGAGCTGATGTTACAGTAGTTTCTCGCTTTGGTTCTAATGAGATCAAACACTTCTATTCTTCTCTCCCTTGACATTCCACCTTCATTGTGTCTCATAACAACCGCCTTCTCGAAGCAAACCGGCTTGTTCTCATCTACAAACCGGAGAAACTTCGGTTCTCGGCCGTATGTTGCTTTGAGGATCTCGCTCAACCAATTCCCCATCCCATACCTTATTTCTCCCTTGTGGTATAAAACCCATCTTTGAGGCTTTTCGCATTGGTTTCTTAAGCTCCACGCAACAAACGGGACTACAGCCGTTAGTCCATGCCACAAGTTACCGTAATCGTATTGATTATAAGACACAAACGTCAAGCCGTCCTGAAGAGTGGAATTGAACGGAAGAGCTTCTGGCCATGCCATCGCGTAGTAGTTCCATGATCCATCATGCTTATCAACCCCTTTCAAGCACAAAAGCCTTCCTTTAGAAGAATCTGAAGGAAATTCTTGAAACTGAGCCTCACCTTTGGTTTGGTTATCATCGAGAGAGCTCATAAACCAGGTATGACCCTCGAGGGGTTTGCTTGAAAACCGTAAGTCTTTGAGGGGAAGAAATGTCACCGATTCACGTAGCTTCTCCATCAAGCAAGCCGTCTCGTTGTGAGATACTTGTTGAGGTTGTTGTTCCAGATATGTCCATAGTGCAGGAGGGAATGAAAGTGAATGTTGAGTAATTTGAAATGAGGAGATTTGGAGAAGAACAAAAACAGTGACAACGAGACACAAGAGTTTCAAGTAGAGCTTAAGAGAGGAGAAGCAAGTAACTAGCCTTCGCCAAACATTACCATTAGTCATTGTGAACAAAGAGTGGAGAATCAAAAAGAGTGCAGCAGAAGTGGTTTTAATTTGATGAAATTTGTGAATAAAACTTGTGAGAAACATAAGGTCAACGCAACGTTACCGGCATAACCCCCAATACTTGCGGCAGATTTGGAAATTGGAATCAACCAACACATGCGTCCCATTTTTCTGTCTTAGTTTTACAATTTTTTAATTACCTCAAGAAAAATGAACTGTCTAATTATCCATCAGCACCGACATTCATCTATCGAACCATAACCGTAGCTACGTTCTACAACATCTTCCATCTTTCTTTCTCTCAACTTACCCAAAACGCTTCTTGCCCACTCACCAAAATAAGTGTCATTGTATCCAATCATACCGTTCTTGTAGACCGACATACACCGTCTATCTGTATCGGGAAACTGACATATTTCCCCAACCGGATCACGCCAAGACCCTTCATGTCTCATCCCTGACCAATCAGCTCCCCATTTGTACACAAACTGACCAACTCCTGCAAGCTTAAGCCATCCTTTGGGGTAAAACTCCAACACACTACTATTTCTATCCATTAGTACCAAATTGGTAAGTTGTGCACCATGTGGTGATACTAACACATCAGTCATTCTCATCAGCTCCACCTGCTCGCAAAATGTTAGATTATTTGAATAAGAAACTTTTAGTTCACACCCTTGTACTCTCTCACACTCTCTTTTAAAGATACTGATCACGGCTGACTCGTTTTTGAACGATCTTGGTCCGGTTCTCATAAGCAATGTCATACCGATTTTCGGTTTTGATGTCTCGGATGTGCTGATGCTGCAGTAGTTTCTCGCTTTGCATCTAATTAGGTCAAACACTTCCATTCTTCTATCCCTCGACATTCCACCTTCATTGTGTCTCATAACAACGGCCTTCTCGAAGCAAACCGGCCTGTTCTCGTCTACAAACCGTAGAAATTCCGGTTCTCGACCGTAACTCGCTGAGATGATGTTGCTCAACCAGTTCCCCATCCCAAACCTTAGCTCGCCCCAGTGGTATAAAACCCATGTTTGAGGGTTTTCGCATTGGTTTCTTAAGCTCCAAGCAAGAAATGGGACCATGGCGGATAGTCCATGCCACATGTTACCGTAATTGTAATGATTGTAGGAAACAAATGTCAGGCCTTTCCGGAGGCTGGCATTGACCGGTAGAGCTTGAGGCCAAGCCAGTGCATAGTAGTTCCATGACCCATCATGCTCATCGACCCCTTTCAAGCACAGAAGCCTTCCTTTCGAAGATTCGGAAGGAAATTCTTGATATTGAACCTCTCCTTTGGTTTGGTTATCATAGAGAGAGCTCATAAACCATGTATGACCTTCGAGTGGTTTGTTTGAAAAACGAAGGTCTTTGAGGGGAAGGAATGTTACCGACTCACGTAGCTTGTCCACCAAGTAAGCCGTCTCGCTCTCTGATATTTGTTCAGGTTGATGTTGTTGGTGGTTTAGATATGTGCGTAGTGAAGGAGGGAGTGAAGTGGGTTGTAAGCTAATGTGAAATGACCAGATTTGAAGAATAACGAAAACTGTGACGACGAGGCACAGGACATTCAAGGAGAACTTAGTGGAGGATAAGCAAGAAACTAGCTTCCATGAAATGCTTCGTTTAGTCATTGTGAGGAGGAGAGTGGGTAAATGTGAAGAAAGAGAATGGTTCTTATTTGATGATTGAAATGGGTGAAAATGAAACTCGTGAGAAGAAAAGTGAAGCTAACTTTATTTGCCAAAGAAGTTGATGAATTCCATGTTGGAAAAATTAACGTTATGAACGCGTACTTCTTGTTTTCTTTTCTACAAGAATAAAAATGCATTAACATTTTTTTTCCCTTAAACCTTTCTAAGTTTGAGAGTTGTTTTGTAAATAAACAAAAATATTCTCATTATATTTTTTTGTTTGGATGAATTTTTTGAGCATTTTTAGAAACTTACTTATGGCCATTTTGACCATTTAAACGTTCAAGTAATTATAAAACGAGTTTTAGTTGAAATTTACAATCTCTAAAAAGGCATGAGACACATTTAAAAAGTTTTTTTTTTCTAAATATTTGTTTTTTTAGTTATATAAAGGGTTTTTAGTTTACACTTACACGGTTTAAGGAAACTTTTTTCTCCAATACACTTGTTACCTAATTAACCACACTTGGTTTGTGAAATAAAAAACACATTAGTTGATAAACAATTTAAACATCATACAATGTCGAGTTTCAAAAAACAAACGGTAGACTAAAATTGTATTCTTTATCAACATTCAAATTAGCTGTCATAATTTACCGCTAACAGAACATTTTTATCCAATTTGAATGTTGAAAATGTTCATGGTTTAACGGGTCCGACCGGTTGAAATGGTTTATTCTCAGTGTCGGTACGATTTTTGAATCAATAGATTTCAATTTCTCCTTTTTTCATTTTCGAAAATCAACCTAACGCAATAGAAAAGAGAAGAGCCAGACTCGACTCGAAAGTCGAAACCCAAATTCAAATTCCGTCTCCTCGTAAATTGTACGAAATAAGTCTCGATCCTTCTCCAGACTACAGCCGTCGGAACTCGAACTCGGTATTCCGGTGGCGATGACTCTGCCGTCTGCTCAGTCCCGCAGTAAGCGCGATCAGATTGGAGTATTCGATTACACTGACGAGGATGAACATGACGAAGAGGTGTCGAAGAAACTCCTTCGAAAGTTCGATTCCCCAGTAACTAAATCGTCCTCCCGCGACATCGATAAGTACGACTTTCTTCAATTCTGTAAGTGTTTCTTCTCTCACTTTCTAGAGAATTTTGGAGTCGATTTTGCTGTTGGCTTTTCTGGAAATGTGTTGGGTTTATGACAATCGGAAGTTCAAAGTGGTCAGGACGCATGAGTCAATTTTACATAAGAAATTGATTGCGCTGAATTTCCGTTTGTTAGTTTGTGGTTGCTAAGTCTGGGGAACAAATCTTCGATGCAAGAGTTATTCACTTCTATAATCATCATGATGGTTTCTTAGAGCTACAACATCAAATCTCACTTGGTAAATCAAGAGAGTGAAGACCTTATTTTTGTGTTATATCTTTCTATTGCAGTTTCTCAGGAAAACCAAAGCGAGAGCAAAGAACCCAAAGAACCGGACCACATAGTTATTGATATTGAAGGTACAAGTAAGAGAATTACATCCAGGAATACACTTCTTTGCTATAAATTTCTACATAAGCTCTGTATATCTATCTGTAGCTTCAAAGGGTTAAATTGTTTTGCTCAAAGGCTAGAGTTCCAAGCTTTAAGAAGCTAGTGCTAGTGTGTGGTAGATACGAAATGACTTATGTTAAGAGTTTAATCCTTTAGAATATGTCATCAGAGAGTGTCCAAAAAGAGGGGAATTGTGTTTCCGCTATTTCATTTACAGTTTGCCACTTTATACGCTAGATTGAGCCCTGAAAACTATTCTTTTATATGAGTTACTGCAGAAGTTATGTTCAAGCGATCACCATTTCCTTGAGGTTTTCTAGTCTTCATCTAGCTTGACTAGTCAATTATGTTTTATGCAGTCTCAACAAATGAAGAGAGGTCAATGTGTGAACTCAGAGGACGTGGAACTGTAAGCCTTTTTCATGAAGTAGTTTTCACAAGGAAAAAGATTGTTTAGAAATTTTCCAATTTTCATTTTGTCATTTATTGCAGGTTGACCTGATTGATTTAATCTCTGATGGCTCCCATGGAAGGACTAGAATCAATTCACCAACTTCTTCTCTGTCGGAAAATTATGATGGTTCTTAGCTTTTAACATTGTCTTTCTCGTTTCAGTTTTCACTGTTTCTTCCCTCAAATGTGCTTGCTCTAAATAAGTTTCTGGATGATTTAGCTTCAACTGGAGAAGAAGCCACAAATTCTGCTGCTGATCCGCATGAAGTTGTAAGTCTTTTCCGGTATTACCATTAATTTTGTTAGAGATTGTTTTAGGATTACAAACACGATGAAAACCAAAAGCTTTTCTTCCCCTGAAAAGTTGTCTGACTTGCTGTTTGTCTTCAGAGTTATCCACATGGGTTTTATATGCACACAGTATCTCATGCTTTTCCTTTTTTTCTGCATTTACAGGTTTCCGAGAATTCACAAGTTCTCATTATCCCTGATGTTATTGTATATGGAGATATATATTGTACAGAATCGAGGTTAACATTTTCCGGCAACTGTATGAATGTTGAAAGTTCATCAGTAAATGCAACTGAAGAGACCTTCAGCTGTGAGTGGACAATAGAAGATATCATCAAAATTGAGTCTCAATGGTATTTGGAGGTGAGTTCTGCTAGTTCATTATTTGGGGGTTGATAAGGATTTTTATGATACGTGAGTTGTTTTTTTTAGGTTGAGACTGCCTTTGTCAATGTCCTTCTGAAGTCCAGGGACCCTAACGGAGTTAATAGTGCGAAAGAGAGTTCAGGTATACCATAAAGTTCGCTTCTAATTATGTTAGAAGCCATGTTTATTTGTAGCTTTTGATGTTGACAACGTCAACTTAAGTTTAACTAACATCTGCTCCCATGCTGTCAGGCATTGATCTACTAAAATTTTCCGTTAATAACCCTAAGTGGTCTGAAGAAGTAGAAACCATCAAATTGCTGCACTCGAGATACGAGGATATTTGGTTTGACATCATAACGTAAGTCATCAAGAAATGCTTATCGTCACCATTGTGTTAGTATCCTCATTGCAGTTCTCTCCCTTTCTCCCCTGCAAACATTATTATAATCGTGCTATAGGATAGTAGGGGTTCTAACTTTTATTTTGTTTCCTTGGTTGAATGTTAACAGAGAAAGTGCTTGTCGTGGACACAATTTGGGAATTTCACTCACCAAGTGAGTATCAACTATAACAACCTCAAATAATGTGGCTTTTAATTTTGAGTTTTGGTCAATTCATCTGACACTTTGGTGGGTGCTACCTGAGAGTGAGAGTTAGATCTGTGTAAAATTATGGAACAATTTTCCGTTTATTTTTAAAAAACGTCCGATATGATGAATGTGGTTCTAATGCAGTAATGCCCCATCTAGTTCTCTGAAATGTCTATCCAACATGTGTATGCATGACATTGTAACCTTGATGCTAAATTTATTAAGATATTTTAATAATTACCTCTTATTATATGCTGTTTGTATCTTAAAATTTCAGTCTCGCTGATTCATTTGAAGACCTAATTTACCCTCAAGGAGACCGAGATGCTGTAGTAGTTAGGAAGCAAGACATTGAGCTTTTGAAGCCAAGGCGTTTCATCAACGATACAATCATTGATTTTTACATCAAGTAAGTTACCTTACAAATGTTTTTGCAGACTATAGAAGCTGAGTTTTATTCAAGCTTTGTGAAGCAGCTTGTAAAGTTGGATTAAATTCTTGCAGGTACCTTAAGAGTCGAATTCCACCAGAGAAACGGGACAGATTCCACTTTTTCAATTGTTTCTTTTTCCGCAAGCTGGCTAATTTAGACAAAGGTTCACCTAGCACTTTTGGGGGAAAGGAAGCGTACCAACGCGTGCAGAAGTGGACTAAGAATGTGGATATTTTTGAAAAAGACTATATATTTGTTCCTATCAACTGCAGGTGAGAACATATTTCACACATATCTAACTTTTTGCTTGTCGCTGATAAGATGACTTACACTTGCGCTTGATTGCAGTTTCCATTGGAGTCTAATTATCATCTGTCATCCCGGTGAATCGGTTCCTTCTCATGGTAAGATAAGCTCGCTGTGTTATTTTCTTCTGCTTGTTAACCTTAAACTTACTTCTTATTAACTTTTCACTCTGCTGATGATGAAGCCGAAAACACACCAAGGGTTCCCTGCATCTTGCATTTGGACTCAATCAAAGGAAGCCACAAAGGTGGGCTCATCAACATTTTTCCTAGGTATGGTCTAAAACCTTTCTGGAAAGTTTACTGCCATTTTATTTACTTCTTCTTGGCATTTGAGTTTCAAGTGATCATTTTAAGTTGGGGGAAATTGTTTTAATAAAAAATTGATCCATTTCCCCGTCTTGTTTCTTCTTCTCATGCTTAGTCAACATGCATTGATATTATCACGAGTGAACTATTGTAATGTCCATCTTGTTATCATAGTTACCTACATGAAGAGTGGAAAGCGAGGAATGGAGATGCAACAATTGATTTCTCAAAAACTCCAAATATGCAGCTCATCTCACTTGAGGTATTGCGTTCGAATAAGGATTAAATTATCTATATATAGAAGGATCATGTCAAAAATAATATAGTTCGATCTTTCCATTATTGTGTGAAGATCTGGTTCTGGATTATCCTCGTTTAGATAGCACCCCTGGTCCCCTACAATATATGAACATGTTGATGAATTGATAGGAGAAGCTTTTCTGGATATTGTCTAGCATATCAAATTCGTTTTGCAGGCTTTATTCGAGAAACAGGTTACTGTGATAGTGGAGTCAACCAATGTTACTATTACTGATGCTATTGCTTTATTTAAACATTTCAGCTCCCGCAGCAAGGGAATTCGTTTGACTGTGGCCTCTTTTTGCTCCACTATATGGAACTTTTTGTTGCTCAAGCTCCTGCTAAATTCAATCCTTCCCTTATCCCAAGATCGGCAAATTTTGTAAGTTGTCTTTTTATATCACTGCCTTGGATATGATGAAGTTCGTTGCATTTGAAATTATATTTGTTTTATCTCTCAGTCATTTTAAGTTCTGGTAGTAAATACTGCGTGTTTCACGAAAAATATGTTAGAAAATTAATAGAAAACAAGGAGTATCTAGTTCCTGTTCAGTGTAAAGTCTTATTGAGCTGTAGGGTATTTGCTTTTACACGTAAAAAATAAAGAAACTTCTGCAAGGATCTTCGTTTTCACTATGATATGAAATAACTCCAGCATGAAATAGTGATTTTTAGGGGATGCTTAAATCTATTTTCTGCTTCTTTTCAGCTAACTAGGAAATGGTTTCCTGCAAAAGAAGCTTCACTGAAGCGTGGATACATATTAGAATTGCTTTACAATCTCCACAAAGGTCATGATCCAAGTAAACCGTCTCATTCTGGAGTATTCGACATTCTTGATCTAGAAACTGAAAGCAAGAGTGAGGAAGAGATCTGTAGCCAGAGTAAACCAGTTGATGGTTCCTCTTCACCAGTCACATCCATTCCCAAAACAAAGACTTGCTCGCCGGATCTGATTCTTAGCAAAGAAACTTTTTACTCCGGAGGTTATGACCCTGAGACTTGTAAGCGCCGAAAGGTCTTTATGTCGCCTATAGAGGTAACTCCTTTTTCTCTGTCTTCAATTCAGATTCTACTGATAAGTACCTTATGTTGATTGCGATTCTATACGTCAAACCAGGAAGAAGTTCAAGAGAGTGGTGAGAAAGAGAAAGAAACAGATTTGCCAATGGACATAAAAGACTTTCTTTGTCAAGAGATAGAAACACTACGAAAAGAGCAATGTATGCTTCATATTGAGGACAGTGATGATGAAGAAAGTTCTGTAGTAGAATACGTCCCTGATTCCCAAGATTACGTCTCTGATTCCGAAGATGCATGTGAAGTTGAGATGCGAGAAGAAGACGATGATGAATTGATTTTACTTACTGGAGAATCCAAAGAGATTCATAAAACCAGAGATCTCAAATCTGTTTCAGCACCGATCGAAAAAGGAGTCCACAACAAGAGCAAGAGTAGAGATATAGCTGTTGGTTCTTGCTATAATGACATTCTTCTTGTGTTGTCTGATGATGAAAGAAGCCCAGCAGCAAGCGATGATCTTAAAGACAAAGGAAAGTTCTTAACTACAAGTTCTAATGTGATGGCCAAGAGGCCTAAGACTTGATGATATTTTCAGGAAGATGATGAATATCGCCAATCTCATGCGATTATTATTTATTAGTTGATTTTGTATTTGGTTTTAACGATTGTAAATTTTTCTGGTTCTCTTAACCCCATTATGAATAAATCGAAGTATCAAACCTTCGTTTTTCATTAGACAAAAAAAAAAACTAAAATCTGCTGTTATTATCCAAGAGGGATGATGAAAACAGAGAGCTCACACAATCCTTTAATACAAAGAGAAAGAAAAAAAAAAACAGATCTTGTCCATTCGATGAAGCTGTACTTTGTTCACACATTCACACGTCATCTCTACTCCGATGCTCCACGAGCATTTGTTCCAACTCTTCCCTGCGTCGGTCGATCTCCTGCAACAAGAAGGGTCAATAATTTCGAAGCCATCACAGGAAGTAGTATGATGATGCAAAAGAAACTATGAATACTTGCCTCGAGATCCTTGACGGCTTGTTCTCTTGAAATTTCCTTCTTCTGTCGAGCACGCTTCAGAAATCCGATGCATAGAACTCCCTGAAGTTCAGAAAACGATCAAAGATTCATTGACAGTAAAAATATAAACTGTGACTCAGAATATTGCCAACAAAAGGTGAGCTGTTTGCAAACGAAATCAAACAAACATAGGCAGATTCAAAATCGGCAGAATCGAAAGAGACTGATCAAAATGAACAACAACGATCAAGTATTCCACAATATCTACCACAAAACTAATATGAAGAGATTCAACAGTAAGGCAAGAAGACGCAGATGAGATATTTCTAGGATGAGTGTGAAAGCGTACGCATATGACATAGATAAGACCACAAGCAAGGAGCATGTAGCTTGCGATATTCTGTAGAAGCAGGAGATCCTTCTTTTGAGTCATATAGTCAGGGAAAGCTCTTGTCATCACAGCAACACTGCAATCACCAAACCAAAATACATAAATCAACACAAAATCTTAAGCAACCAAGAAGATAGTCTCATTCAATAAAAGTTGATTCAGAAATGATACAACAAATTTGATCCATGGCCCTGAAATTGCTGAAGCATCACCACCAGATTCACTCTAAAACAAGAAGGTTACAGAGCTGTAACTTACAAAATCTGAAGCATTCCTCTACCAGCCCAGAATTCAAGAACCTGTGTAAAGAGCAGAGAGAATTAAAAAATGAGCTAAATTTGTTGATCAGAGAGTCATAGTAGAAAAAATAGGAAAGAGATCAACAGAAGATGTGGATGACCTTAGAAAATTTGAGGATGAATCCCCATTCCGTCTCGACGAGAACAACAAAGCAAGAAATCACGACGGCATAGCACCGGAATATTCCATCGAATAGCTGCCAGCAAATGATAAATAGCTTCAGAAGATGATCGAGTCATCGAGATCGAGAAAGAGAGAGGGGGAGAGAGTGATTTACATCGTGGCTGTCTCGGAAGGAGCGAATAGCTGCGAGAACATTGACGACAACGCAGAGAATCGCGATGAGAGAGGTAACGAAGCCGAAGCACCTGCAGACAACAAGGAAAGGATCCGGTCTGTTACTGAGCCTCGATCTCAGTGCTCCGGTAGAAGGCTCGGCGATCTCTTCGTGTTCCTCACTCCTCTCCATCTGTAATCGATTTCCCAGAGAGATGGTACCTCTGCTCCGGCGAAGATCCACAGTTTTCGGGTGAAATTTTTCGGAATCGAGACGCGAAATCGGATACGAGAAGCTCGTTGGTTACAGAAACGCGGGACTCTTTCACCGGCCGTTCAAGCTTTCTCTTTCATTTCCTTTTTGGGAATAACTGCTTACCAAAAATATCTTCAAATTAAATATTTTTTGCAAAAATTTATAAAATTTGGATAAGTACTCCGTTCGTTGCTCGCTCTATCCTGAAAATATCAGACATCCGGAAAAAAATAAACGTTTGCGTTTGGTTGGTTAATAACATAACACATGAGCAACATACATAATACAGTCACAAGTCGCAATTCCCGTTGCACATATCGTCCACATAACACAAATTATTCCCCCAGACTCTCTCTCTCCGGCGATGACTTCCTTATCCACGCCGCCGTCGCAGAATCTCGCCTTCTCCCCCGCCGCAGCGGCTGCCGCCACGTCATCCAGGCTCACTCCCGTCAAAAGACCGTTTTACCCTCAGCGTATCTCCGATTCTGCTGCCCTCTGCCGCTGCTCCTCCTCCTCCGGCGGAAATTCGTCCTCTGCCTCCTCCTCTTCCGATGATAACCCTAGGTGGGACTCCGCGATTCAGGATGTCCTCAAGAGCGCCATCAAACGCTTCGATTCGGTTTTGAGCTGGTACAAGACACAGGATAAGGATGCTGGGGACGACGAGCAAGGATCGGGGAATGTCGAGAGAGATGAAAACGATTGGGATTGGGAGCGATGGAAGAAGCATTTCGAGCAAATTGATGAGCAAGACCGTCTTCTCTCCGTCCTAAAGGTTTCCCATAATCCTGTTGAAACTTTTGTTAGGGCTCCTATGCGAAATTTCATTTGGAGATAATGTGTCTAATGCGTAAAGCTTGTATTTGGGTACAGTCACAATTGAGTCGAGCCATAAAACGAGAAGACTATGAAGATGCTGCGAGGCTGAAGGTGGCAATCGCAGCTGCAGCTACAAATGATGCTGTTGGCAGAGTGATGTCCAGATTCAATGTAAAAATCCGAATCATAGTTTCTTAATATATTTTGAAATTACATTTTGATTCTAAAAGATGTTCTTTTATATATTTTTCCCTTTGTGATAGAGAGCTGTTCTTGAAGAGCGTTACAAGGATGCAGTGTACTTGCGAGACAAAGCTGGTGCTGGGTTGGTGAGCTCATTTTGTTGTTTCTTTTATAATTTACAGTTGTGATTTAGCTCCTTATAGGTTTAAAAAGTTTCTTACTATTTCTCTATATGACATGCTTGCAGGTAGGGTGGTGGTCGGGTATTTCGGAAGATGTCAAAGACCCTTTTGGTCTTATTGTTCAGATTACAGCAGAGCATGGAAGATATGTGGCTAGAAGCTATAATCCTCGGTAATAACTTACTCTATCTTCTTAGTTCATCAATTCATCTGTGGCAGTGAGGTTTTGTGTATCAAAAATAGCTTTATTTGCTCTTTCTCTCTCAGGCAGCTTAGTACTTCTGCTGCGGGGGCTCCTCTTTTTGAGATCTTTCTGAAGCTAGATGGAAAAGGGGACTACAAAAAACAGGTTTTTTTCCCCCTTAATCCTATGTAGTTACTGTCCATTGGGATACTCGTTGGAGAAGACTTTTCGGTTTAGTCGATAGCATATATCACACGACGAATGTGTCTATTTTGGTGTTAAATTGGAGTTATGTTTCTTCAGGCTGTGTACTTAAAATGGAAGGAGATCTTTCCGGACGTTCCAACTATGCCTTCCAGAAGTTTGAATTCTACGAGGTTTTTGGCTACACCGGGGAGGAAGGAAGATGCAGGTAATCTTGCTGTCGAGAGTAGTGAAGATGAAGAGAGTGATAACTCAGACGACGATTCTGATCTCCTTGACGAATCTTCTGGATTCCAGAGTTTCCTGCGAGATATGATTCCTGGGGTCAAAGTCAAGGTTATGAAAGTAACTACGCCTGGAAAGGTGGACAAGGATTTCATCTCAAAAGTTATTGAGCAGATAGCTGATGATGAAGAAGATGAAGAGAAGGATTTTGATATAGAAGATGTAGAAGTGGAAGATGAAACTAAGGCTGAAGTCGATGAAAAGAACGCTGACATTGAACTGGAATCTGTGAAGGATGAAATCATTGACAACAACGGAGGGAGAGAAATCGCAGTTAAATTTGTGATAGGTGATATTGTTGACCGGCTTTCTGGAAACCAACCTCTTAAAGAGTCACTTAGGTCCCCTGCCAATCTTGAATCCGTGGAGAATTCTTCGTTTTATCTTCGGTTAGAGAAAGACTTAAAAGCACAAGAGTCTAAGAATGTGGAAGGTACATTAGTTGAAGGTAAAGGCAACCGCCAAAGCAGACGCAGGATTGATAACATTATGGTTGATCTGGCCAAATCCATTGAGAAAGAGAAGAAGATTTCACTCAAGGTTTGTTTTGATGTTTTTTTTCTGGCTATTTTATTCCTTCTTGTTTCACTGCAAAACAGGAGTGTCGGCTTATTCTAGAAATTGCTTCGCAGATGCTTAAGGATGTTGGGGAGCTATTAAGCCTCACTCTCAGCCAGGCTCAAAACCGTCAACAGTTGTCGGGTTTGACTAAATTCCGCCGCATTGATGTGACACCATCGCTAGATCCTCTAGACGGTGAGTGAGTAAATTGATTGATTTTAACCTGGTTTTGCATCTCTCTAAAGAAAATGGAAATGAGCTCTACAAGTTGATGGCTCCTAAGCCATTACTATTTTATCAGTATGGCTCGTTCAGCTGTTAGAATTTTACGTTTTTCCATGTGACTAATGGGTCAGTGCAAGAATATTTTTCTCAAATTAGCTCTCATTATGGGATGGATTTTGAAACTTTATGCTTATCTCTATCCAGGACTATATATTGGTGCACATGGGCTGTATACGTCAGAAGTAATTCATTTGAAACGCAAATTTGGCCAGTGGAAAGGTGGAAAGGAGTCTAAAAAGTCAGCAGATATTGAGTTTTATGAGTATGTCGAAGCTGTGAAATTAACTGGAGATCCTTATGTGCCTGCTGGGAAGGTTAGTTTCGTTGTTTGTTCTAGTATGACTGTATGAGGTATAAATGGGTGGCCTTATCACAGTCGTGTCTCATGACAGGTAGCATTTCGTGCAAAGATTGGTAGACGCTATGAGCTTCCACATAGAGGACTCATCCCTGAAGAATTTGGAGTGGTATGCTTAGAACACTATCCAAATTCTATCGTTAAGACTTTTTTTTTATGGTGGAGTTATAGTTTGTGTAGCTTCATGATGGAGTATTATTTCTTTTGAAAAATTACAGATTGCGAGATACAAAGGACAAGGTAGGCTTGCTGATCCTGGATTTCGTAATCCAAGATGGGTAGACGGCGAGCTTGTTATCCTCGATGGCAAGGTTCCTCACTAAACTAAAACTAACTTATCCATGATCCAAACTCAAATGTATGACATGTTTTGTGTGATGTGTTTGTTGATGCAATTGCAGTATGTAAAAGGAGGACCAGTCGTTGGATTTGTCTACTGGGCACCTGAATATCACTTTGTGATGTTCTTCAACCGCCTGAGGCTTCAAGCCTAGTTTTTCTCTTCTCTCTGTATAATCGAGGAAGGCTTTTCTTTTGGCTATAACCATTGTAAGTATACTTCTCCCTAGATACGAAGATGGTATGATGTCAGTACTGAAAAGTAATTGAAATGGTTTTACTATCTGCAGATTCATGGAAAATCGGATATGCTTAAGATAAGATTTCTTCAGGTTCAGGGTCCACTTCTTGTCTATCTGGACCGGTATTGAGCTCGTGGCTTGCTCTTTTCTTCTGGAGCATGGCTTTAAACGTTCCTCCTAAATTGCGGCAAGATCTATCACGCTAGAGTCTTTGATCATGCAGTGAATTAGTTGGATTCTGAGAGTTTTGTCAGAAGGATTGTAAGGTTGGAGAAGTCTATAGATATATATGTAAATTAATGTTTGCTTCTCAGAGATTTGCTTTTGGATGTAAAAACTTGGTAAGAGTTGTTATTACATGTCCCTTGTATATTTTCAGTTTATTTTACGGAAGAAGAGAAGATAATCTCTTGTAAATCTTGTTAAGATCTTTTGTTGCAGCAACTGAAAAAATAGCACAAAGCTTGCTTATAATGTGATTTCCATTAGAGAAGCAAAAGAAATCATTGATCTTCCAAGTTTATCATTTCATTACACAGTGGCACAAAACAAGAAAAGATGATAAAGAAATGGGGGAGCTTAGGAAGTGGCGGCGGCGGCAGGAGCTTGCGGTGGAGGTGGTGGTGGTCGGAGAGTGATCTCGACTTTGTCGTGAACTCCCTGTAGCAACAGTTCTCCTGGGAATGCCACAATCTTGCGCTTCTTGGCGGCTCTCAATGTCCCAACCAATGCTTCGAAGATGTTGGCACATCGGTCGTCATTGAACAACACTCCAAATGTCACCTGAATCCACAAAGGAACAAGTCAACCAATCGTCAGAATCTTATACAACGATTTTAGATCTGAGAGAGAAAGAGCAATCGGCGATTTTTCGATAAGAGTATGTGGATTGATGATGATACAGATTCTATATCCAGGGAAATCTAAAGAGAAAGAGACCGTGTAAGAGCCATCGGACTGGAGAGAGCCAAGACGATGGATCTCTTCCTCGAGTTTCTGAATCTCCTCTTCTACGTTCATTCTTTCTTCTTCTTCCTTGTGATGATTGAAATGAGAGAGAGAGAGAGCTTTTCCAGTTTCCAACTGTCTGATAATTCGGATCGGAAGACAGCTCGATTTATGTTCTGTTAGATAAACTTTTGTCCATCCGGTTAAAAGGACTAAAGGACCCACATCACTTTAAAATTTTGCAATCATACCGAACATTTTCCAAAACAACTTTAGCGTACAAAAAATTGTCAACTGGTTTTAAACCTTCAATTATGACAGGACACCATTACTAATACCAATCGACATTTAAAAGTTGATTTTCTTTTAACATTTGTTTTACTTTTATCATTCTAGTATGTAGTATATATATATATATATATATATTTCATCTTGCTGTAGACCCAAAGAAAGAAAACTCATTTTATTTGTCGAAATATGTATATGAATAAAATTAAGAGTAATAAGAACACTAATTGACGCACTCAAACGGGATATTTATTTGCAAAACAACAATTAACTGAAATTTGTTATACTTGTGTTGTGTTGTGGCAGATCCACAAACATAAATTCTCTAACAATTATTATTTTGCCAAATTTCTCTTTTATAAAAAAAATATTTTATTTTTTAAAATAAATTGGGGAAAAAGAGAAGTGATATTTAGTTATTTACAAGTAAACTCTCTCCCAAGTAAAAGTAAAATAAAAATTTCTAAAATAAACTCTCTCCCAAGTATAAAGAAAATAATTTTTCAAGTAAACTCTCTTCCCAAGTAAAAATATTTTATTCTTCACGTCAAAAATAAAATTTGCTCTCTCCTCTATCATTCATTCGGGGAGAGAATCTGTCTTCTCGATCGATACTGTGAGCACGAAATCGAGTATTGACCCTCTCTCTTTCCAGTTTCTCTCCTGCACGAACTCTTCCTCAAAGGCCCCAAAAACCCTAGCCTTTTGATCATTTTCTGTCCGATCCCATCGATGGCTAATGAACAAGTAGTAACCGGCGAGACTACGCCTCCGTCTTCGTCCCCTACCGCTGCCAGCAAAGCCGCGCCGTTGGGATCCTCCGTGATTCCGATTGTCAACAAGCTCCAGGACATATTCGCTCAGCTTGGGAAGCAGTCGTCAATTGAGCTTCCTCAGGTAGCTGTTGTTGGTAGCCAGAGCAGTGGCAAGTCCAGCGTCCTCGAAGCTCTCGTCGGCCGCGACTTTCTTCCCCGAGGGAATGATATCTGCACGCGTCGCCCTCTCGTCCTCCAGCTCGTCCAGACCAAGAGCAAGTCTAATGGCGGATCCGATGACGACTGGGGAGAGTTCCTTCACCTCCCTAACAATCGTATCTACGATTTCTCTGAGATTCGTCGCGAAATTGAGGTTTTTTGTTTCTTCCTTTATCTCTGCCTCTGCTTAATTTAATATCCCAATTTCGTCTCTCTGCTTAATTCAGTTATCGTCAATGCTCTATAATGTATAAATGCAACGTCCTTGTAGGCTGAGACGAATAGATTAGCAGGAGATAACAAAGGTGTATCAGATAAACAGATTCGTCTGAAGATATTTTCTCCAAACGTATTGGATATCACGCTTGTGGATCTGCCTGGGATAACCAAGGTGCCAGTGGGTGACCAGCCAACTGACATTGAAGCACGTATAAGAACGATGATCTTGTCTTACATCAAGCAACCTAGCTGCCTGATACTGGCTGTCACTCCCGCAAATTCGGATTTAGCAAACTCTGATGCCCTTCAAATCGCAGGAAACGCCGATCCTGATGGTAAGTTGTACCAACAAGTCCAATGAGGAGAAGAAATATTTGATTTTTGTGATGGGCTCTGTTTGATGTTACTCATTTTCACCTTCGTGTGTGTCTATACTGTCTCCAGGTCACAGGACAATAGGTGTTATCACAAAGGTGCGTATTCCCTGTCCAGACATTTGTTTGCCATCATTGTAGTATGGTCGTAAAGATCGTTGTCTCTGTTTTGCGTGTGTATTTACTAGATGTTTTCTCACTGTTTTCAGCTGGATATCATGGACAAGGGTACCGATGCTCGTAATTTACTTCTTGGAAAGATTGTTCCTTTGAGACTTGGATATGTGGGAGTGGTAAACCGTTGCCAGGAGGTAAAGCTGGAGTCTTGTGTTTATATGTCTTATGTTTCTCTGCTTTTATTTTTTTGGCTCTGCATTCGAACAACGTTTAAAATTACTTTGGTCTTTAATTTCTTTTGTAAACAGGATATTTTGCTTAACCGTTCAGTCAAGGAAGCACTTAGCGCAGAAGAGAAATTTTTCCGGAGTCGTCCAGTATGATCGCTTTATTTTGTTGACTTCCTTCCTGACACTATTGCGACTTGTCCTGTTATAATTTTCTTTGGTACTGTACAGGCTTATCATGGTCTTGATGATCGTCTGGGTATCCCTCAGCTAGCGAAGAAGTTAAATCAGGTATTTTCTGCAGTTTTGAGTTATTTTATACGTTATTTAAACTCTATAATTGTTCAGTAAGTCATAAGAGGGATAGCTTTCTGGATAAATTTGTATTAGATTTGATGTTAGAGTATATTTCTGACAATCAGGATTGTTTATTGTGAAAGTTGATTTATATACTGAATTTGTTTGTTGTTGTTGACTAATTTGTTTTCATGCTGATAGGTTTCATATTTGGCATTGGTACATGCTTATTATATTAGAACATGACTAATAGAAGCTAGTTTTTTCTTGCATTTTTTTCTAGATTCTTGTGCAACATATCAAGGTTCTGCTTCCTGGTTTGAAGTCGAATATAAGTAAAGCTTTGGTTGCTACAGCTAAGGAGCATCAGAGCTACGGTGAAATTACAGAATCCAGGGTATGTAGATACTGCCCATTTTGCAGTTCATTTACAGATTTTTTTGTTAATAATGACACTGGTTTTCTCTGAGTAGTCACACTTATCTTATTCTGTGGGTCTTTATTGTCCTTGAAATATTTAGGCTGGCCAAGGAGCTCTTCTCCTCAACTTTCTTTCAAAATACTGTGAAGGTAATATCTTAAGATGGTATTTTTTTAGTTGAGACGGTGGATAATTTGTTTTATGCTTCTTTGGTTCATAGTGAATCTCATGGTTAACTTATTTAAACAGCATATTCGTCATTGCTGGAAGGGAAAAGTGAAGAAATGTCTACGTCCGAGCTCTCTGGAGGAGCAAGAATTCACTATATTTTCCAATCAATCTTTGTTAAGAGTTTGGAGGTTCGCTTGCACAGCTTTAACTTTTTCTCTCTAATCCATTCTTGACTGATCTGTGTATGCTGTCAGAACCTCTTGAAGTGGATTTCTGTGAATTTAGACTGATGGAGTTCCTTCACATTACTGTTCAGGAGGTTGATCCATGCGAAGACTTGACAAACGATGATATTCGGACAGCAATTCAGAATGCAACTGGTCCAAGATCCGCATTATTTGTTCCAGATGTAGGTTTCCTAACATTTATCTAAGCATGTTCAGATCCTGGTTGTCAGTGCTTTCAACTATTCATATGTCTCCTTACCTTTCTACTTCCCGGGATATCTAATTACAGTCTCTTGATTCCAATATTTTCTGCATAGGTACCATTTGAAGTTCTTGTTAGGAGGCAAATATCTCGTTTGTTAGATCCTAGTCTTCAGTGTGCTAGGTTCATTTTTGATGAGCTCATAAAGGTGAGGTTTTTTTTGGTTGTTGATAGATGAGAATCTTAATTTCAGTTTCTTCATAAATTTGAATTTCTCTACAGATAAGCCATAAATGTATGATGAATGAGTTACAGCGCTTCCCGGTCCTGAGAAAGCGCATGGATGAGGTTATCGGGGATTTCCTGCGAGAAGGTCTCGAACCCTCAGAAGCAATGATCGGGGATATCATTGACATGGAGGTCGGTATAATGAATTGGAGATCCCTATGATCATTTAAACATGAAGAATTTATCAGTTGAGATCCTGTATTGTGTATAGGCCTATAGGGAGCAGAGACTGGTCACTTCTCATGTTGATTGATTAGGATCCCTTTTCAATCCTGAGCAGTGATTTCTCGTTTTTGATTGATTAGTTTATTTTGAATTGAAACTAAATTATGAGTGCTGGTAGACAATATTACTTAAATGGTAATGTTAACTTCTTGAGTGCTGTCTGCAGATGGATTACATAAACACTTCTCATCCAAATTTTATTGGTGGAACCAAGGCCGTGGAGGCTGCAATGCAACATGTGAAGGCTTCTAGGGTTCCCCATCCTGTGGCACGACAAAAGGTATGAAGTAAACAGGTGAAAATTAGTTGCGTATTTCATATATGCTCTGCAGTGTTTCTTATACGTTTAAGTTGATGGAACAGGATACGGTGGAGCCTGATAGAACATCTTCTTCTTCCGCAAGCCAGGTGAAGTCTCGATCTTTTCTCGGCAGACAAGCTAATGGAATTGTTGCTGATCAGGTATGGCACTAAACATCATGATCAAATTAGAGAATTTCAAGCCAAAGAGTTTTTATTTGACATTTTCTCCATGACATGTTCCCAGGGAGTTGTATCTGCAGATGCTGAAAAAGCTGCACCAGCTGGTAATGTTCTAATTGCTGTCATTTTCGGCCTTCCATTACATGCAAGAGATAATATAACATGTTTCGGAAATTTTTTGGCTGTGTGATGAATCTATGTGTTTAAGAGCTGGAGATTTTGGGCAGAGTTTAACTGTGGTTTTATTGGACAATTGATATTTGATAGGAAATGCGAACGATTCAAGGTGGGGTATCCCTTCAATTTTTCGAGGGGGTGATAATCGGGCAGTTACCAAAGAGAACTTCTTAAACAAACAATTCGGTGAAGCTGTTGAGGACATGTCTCAGCACTTATCTATGATCTATCTAAAAGAGGTGTGTCTTCTGTGGCGTCTTAGGTGATTCATATTTTGCTAATTCACGCTTACCTATTCAACTCATACTTTTTGCTTTGCTTTCCTGAAGCCCCCAGCTGTCTTGAGGCCAGCTGAGACCCATTCAGAACAGGAAGCAGTCGAGATTGAGATAACAAAGCTGTTACTTAAATCATACTATGACATTGTAAGAAAGAATATTGAGGACTCGGTACCAAAAGCAATCATGCATTTCCTGGTAAGTATACAATTTGAGCACCTTAACATTTGAGGCATTACAAATGAAATGTAGTTTATCCATCTTGTGCAACAAAACCCTATTGTTTTCTGAACTCTGAAAAAACTGATACCATTTCTATATCATATTCAGGTAAACCACACGAAACGTGAGCTGCACAATGTCTTCATCAAGAAGCTTTACAGGTGATGCCGTTTTTTTTTTTTTTTTTATGTTGTGATTGGATGGTCTCTTATTACTGGCTAGTTCTAAAGCATCTGGTGCAGGGAGAACTTATTTGAAGAAATGCTGCAAGAGCCAGATGAGATAGCAGTTAAGAGGAAACACACCCAGGAGACTCTCCACATTCTTCAGCAAGCTTACAGAGTAATTATCTACATATAATTGTCATAAAACCTCGCTCGAGTCGTATGTTTGGATAGTAACCATATGTTTTTGTGTATTAAACAGACACTAGACGAGTTGCCTTTGGAAGCAGAAGCAGTGTACAATCGTGGTACGGATACAACAGCTGCGTCAAAACATCTGGACTTACCGGCATCCTCGTCGATGTATTCCACTAGCAGTTCGTACTCTGCATCTCCCAGTACAGGAAGAAGATCCAGAAGAGCAGGAGATCAACACCAAAACGGATACGGATTCTAACAGTGATCCATAAATCAAATTATCTCGGACTGTGATAAGTGATAACGCATTTCATTCATTTAATGGCTCTCTATCAGGTTTTGGTATGACTAAATTATGTGTTGACAAAATGAAAAAATAATTTATATAGGAAAATTGGAACAGAGTTTGGTTTTGGAGTCTGCATTTTGACTGTGAGAGAGTATTAAGGGGAGTGAAAAGGTGATGATATAGTTTCTATTTGTTTTCAAATGCCTCCCTGCAAACCCTTTCACTCTTTATTTCTTGGGTTTGGTTTACTAATAAGAGTGATATTACAGTATCGAGCCTCTAAATTTTGTGGCCTCTTTTCATATACTTTCAGTACACGAGGCTTCGTAACTTATCACAAATTACTTAGAAGTTATGCTTGAATTTGAATATAAAATTGTATCAAAATGCTTGTTAAAAATGTTTATGGAAATAAGAAACAATTTTAGAATCTGAGGGAAAGACGATTTTACTGACTTTTTGGTTAGAAATCAGAAACAGACACGTGTGTTCTGTCATTCTCCAGTTTTCAGTATATGCATATCCACCTACTGCTACGTGGCTGAGTAGGTAGGTCTACACTAACTTTTGCTTAGTTGAAATTTCAACATTTCCGACAAACACAAACGCGTTTTCTGTTCTTCTTTTTGCCTATAACGAATCAGAGATCAGAATAAACTCTGCGGAAGAATCCATGAATTCAATTCTACTGTCGAGGTATTGCTGCAATTGGAACAAATATTGTACTTACCTGCTGAGAATTGTGATATATATTTGAAGGACATTTTATGGACGAGAAAGTAATCACATTACATTTCAACAAATATCACATTAAACACATTTGCAAACAGAGAGATTTTACAAAAAGTTTAAACTTGATCATCAATTCATATAATGGTCGGCTCGCAGCAACAATTATACTCATACACAGGCGGAGCAGCATTCTTCAATACAGCAGCAGCAACACAAACCCATAAGTCTGCAAACCAAAACACACAAACACTTCACAACGGTTTCTTTAACAAAAATTCTTGAAGATCTATGGTATCTACATTTTTTTTTTTTTTAAACAATACAATACGAACTATGGTATCTACGTTGCAAAAAATAATAGTAGTAAACTTCCATGCATGATATCAAAATTATTATCTGATTTTTCCAGAAAAGTTAGTTAATCAGTCAAATCCTTAGGTTTTGTTAATTAGACAGAACACTTACAGTTGATCAGTAATCCAATATCTTGTCTTTTCCTTTCGCGGTGGAGGCGGCGGAGGCGGTGGTTCTCCAACCGGAGGCGGCGGGTCATTTACCGGTGCAGGGTAAGGAGATGCATTCTTCGGGTCGCTCATGTTTTTTTGCTAGAGGAACAATCACTCAAAACTCTTGGTCAAAAAAACAATCACTCAAAACTAATAAAGATAGTGTTTAAATAGCTGGAAGCAGAGGAAATAATAGTAGAGAGAGAACACTGAGTAATTACAATCTTTAATGCGCAAGTGTTTAATTTATTCAAATATCCGTCACCAAGTTTACATTTTATCGACTTTAACAGAAAACAATTTTTTAAAAGACGACATGATTGCATTTGGTCATTTGGATATACTTATTATAGGAAACAATGGAAACTTCTGATTCAGACTCGGGTCCCACAGAAACGCACACCAACTCCCTTCATTCTTTACCCTCTCTTCTTAAATTAACGCATGAGAGGATGACTCTCTAATCACTCAAAACCTTATAATTTCTCTGAATTCACAGATAAAGAAAGACCCATCAATGGCTCCATCAGCTGCAGCAAACAATGCTCTGCAGCCACAACAAGAACCGCCACCACAGCTAGTTAAAAGTCTTCTTCCGGTAAGAAACACATCGGAAAGTTCTGTTCGTTCCAAGTTTAGTCTTTGGCTATTTGGTGATCCGTCTACGTATGACAAGAGGTTCCAGGAAGCTATTGAACTTAGTTGCTCGTGATGGAGATTTTTCATTTGTTCATGCCTTTTCATTACTTTCTTATTTTTGTGTGTTGTAAAATGAACATTATGTAATTTCTTCTCCATAATCTCACCCTGTTCTGTAACTTACACAGTAATGAAATCGATTGAACATGTCTTTTTATTCATTTTGATACCTAAGAAACTTTACTAATCATAACTCACACTGTTATTAACACATCAAGCATTCCAACTTCCAAGAGAGCAAGAACAGAGTTTATTGTGAACAAACACAAAGAGCTTTACTTCGGATCGATTCCGCTCGGCCAAGTCTGGTTCTTGACAGGCTCGAGAATAGCTTCAACCTCAGACAAAGTTTCCTGATCCATCCCCAAACCTTCAAGCTCTGTAACAGCTGCAACATTTTCTTCTACCTGATTCCCGAAAAAAAAACAAGATGATTCATATTTCAACTCAAATTCCCACATAATACATGCAAAACTTTTGTGGACTTTGAGAGGAAAGTCTTAAACTTGAATACCTGCGAGACAGAGCTCATACCAACCAAAACTGATGAAATATCCTTCTTTGCTACGCTGTATTGCACTGCTAACTTCGTCATCTTCTTACCCTTTGATCTACAATGAGCAACTGCTGCTTTGCACGCAGCCTACACAAAAGACAACAAAACCAACCAATTGTCAAGAAAAGATTCAGTATCTTCCTTAATCTCTCACTGAAATCAAAGCAATAATCCAAAAACAATCCAGTTCCTAATATGTTCTAATAGTAGCGTTATACATTCTGTTTCTAAATGTCAAACCTTGAGCTCAGGGGAAGCAGGGTGCCATTCAGGAGGACCTTGCTCTGTAAAGAGACCCATTGACAAAGGAGACGCACTTATCACCCCCACACCTTTGCTCTTCAAGTAAGGTACCAAATCCAGCAAAGTCGAATCATTTACGCTCAAATGGCAGTACGATAATATCACATCGACTGCCCCTGAAGGCACTCTATCAAGAACGTAAGTGAAAATGTTCAACGGAAGGCCAGTGATACCAATGAACCGGATCTTCCCTTCCTGTTTCAGCTTCTGGAGAGCAGGCATTGTTTCACTCACAATCTGTCAGTCACAAAACAACAATCAGTAAAGGCTCAGAGAGAGAGAGATAGTGAAAGTGATGATGACATAAAACCAAGAGAGAAAGTTATAAACCTGATCAAGAGACCCGAACTCAATGTCATGGCAATGAAGTATGTCAACGTAATCTAGCTGAAGCCTCTCCAAGCTCTCATCAATGCTCTTTGTTACTCTCTCAGCACTGAAATCAAAACCTTCTTTGTATCGTCCACACTTAGTCGCCACAATGTAGTCACTTCTAGGGACTTGAAGAGCCTTTAGTCCCTTACCAAGCATTTTCTCTGACAGTGTTCCTCCGTAATACCTTCACAACAATAAAACCCTAAGAAAACTTCATATCCATAGAGAATCACTCAATTCTCACATGATTCAAATTTCAAATCTGTAGATTCCTCGGAAAGAAGGAGCGATTAAGTTTGGAAAAATGATTGAAATTTGAGAATTTTCGGAGATAATCTCCAGGACAGATGAAAAATATGGAAGAAGTAATTACGGGGAGGTGTCGAAGAAGTTGATGCCGAGATTGAAAGCCTCGCGCACGGCGGCGACGGCATCATCTTCGGCGACTGGACCGAAGACACTTCCGAGCGGAGATGCGCCGAAACCAACGGAGCTGACCTTGAGCCCTGTGTTTCCCAGAGGCCTGAGCTCCATCTTCGCCGGAGGAATTGCCATTGCTAAAGATCAACAAAAAACTGTAATTCGGATGCAATTGTAAAGGAACACTGTGAAATACGGATGAGAATGCAAGACGACGACACTTGTTTTTGATCTTTGTAGTTTGTACACAATTCCGAATTGACGAATGTACCCTTCAAGACTATATACGGATTACGGATAAGTAAATTTTATTGAACTTTTACATTTGTAGTCCTCTTTTTTCCCTTTTTGTGTGTGTGTGTGTGTGTGTGTGTGTGTGTGTGTGTGTGTGTGTGTGTGTGTGTGTATATGATGAACATACTGCATGAGTCATGCATGATGGAGATTTGTCATTTCTTCATGTGTGTGGTATATGATGAACATACTGCATGTTGTTCAAAAAAAAAAAAGGAGATTTGTCATTTCACGCTTTATTTTTTTCATTACTTTCTTCTTCTTTCTTTGTGTGTTGTCACTTGAACATTATGTAATTTCTTCCCCATAATCTCACTGTAACTTATGCAAAAATGAAGTTGATTAAAGATGTTTTTGAAACTTTATTAATCGTTTCAACCGAATTTAGTCTCTTACAGACACACAGTGAGTAGTGTGACACAACAAGCATTCCAAGAAAGCAAGAACATAGTTTATTGTGAAACAAACACAAAGAGCTTATAACTTGTGATCGATTCCGCTTGGCCAAGTAAGATTCTTGACAGGTTCGAGAATGGCTTCAACCTCAGACAGAGTTTCTTGATCCATCCCCAAACCTTGAAGCTCTCTATATGCTGTAACATTTTCTTCTACCTGAATCCACAAAAAAACACATATTCTTCCATATTTTACACTCTAATTCCTACATAATATATGGAAACCTTTGGGGACTTTAAATTTGGATACCTCGGAGACAGAGCCCATCCCAACAAACACAGATGAAACCTCCTTGTTAGCTAAGCTGTATTGCATTGCTAACTTCGTCATCTTCTTACCCTTTGACTTACAATGAGCCACCGCTGCTTTGCACGCAGACTACACAAAGACAAAGCTTGAGTGTAAGACAAACTATCTTAAGAAAATGTTAACAAGAATCTCTTTCCTTTCAAAAATGTCAAACCTTGATCTCAGGGGAAGCAGGATGCCATTCAGGAGGACCTTGCTTAGTAAAGAGACCCATTGACAAGGGAGAAGCACTGATCACGCCCACACCTTTGCTCTTCAAGTAAGGTACCAAATCCAGCAACGTTGAGTCATTTATGCTCAGATGGCAGTATGATAATATCACATCGACCGTCCCTGGAGGCACTCGATCAAGAACGTAAGTGAAAATGTTCAACGGAAGACCAGTGATACCAATAAACCGGATCTTCCCTTCCTGTTTCAGTTTCTGGAGAGTAGGAATTGTTTCATTCACAATCTGTCACCCATGAAAACAACAATATTTTTAGTAAAGGTTGAGAGAGAGAGATAGACAGTGAGACTGATGAATCAAGAGAGAGAGAACCTGATCAAGAGACACGAACTCAATGTCGTGGCAATGAAGTATGTCAACGTAATCTAGCTGAAGATTCTCCAAGCTCTCGTCGATGCTCTTTCTTACTCTCTCAGCACTGAAATCAAAACCTTCTTCTACATATCGACCACACTTGGTCGCTACAATGTAGTCACTTCTAGGGACTTGTAGAGCCTTTAGTGCCTTACCGAGCACTTTCTCCGAAAGTGTTCCTCCGTAATACCTTCACAAAAAAAACCAAAACCCTAAAAAACTGTACATAATACATAATGGACATAAATAACCACTTTAACGCCAACTCTCAAATGATTAAATTTTAAATCTGAAAGTTGATCAGACAGAATAAGCAATTAATTTGGAAAGATGATTAAAGATAATCTTGATTAAAGATGATAAAGGAAGTAAAAGTGATTTACGGGGAGGTGTCGAAGAAGTTGATGCCGAGTCGGAAAGCCTCGCGAACGGCGGCGATGCCATCATCTTCGGCGACTGGACTGTAGTGACTTCCGAGCGGTGATGCGCCGAAACCAACTGAGCTAACCTTGAGCCCTGTGTTTCCCAGAGGCCTGAGCTCCATCTTCGCCTGAGAAATTGCCATTCTTATGAGTCAACTCAACTAAACTTGCAAGAATGCGAGACGACACTTTTGTCTTGGCTCTTTCACAGAGACAGCGGTCAACTAACTGAATTTACGAAAACACCCTTTTCAGACAAATCTAGAAACTTTTTTGGCAACATGTTTCACTGACTTTCACATGTTACCGTCTTTGGGAAAAAACAAAATAAATAAATTATTGAAAACATAAGTTGCTTCAATTCACGAAAACAAAGGAGACGACACATTATTTAAAATCCTAGTCAAGTCATTACAGAGGATGATGATGAATACATGAATCCATAATATCCTTAATACATTGAAAACTCATGCATAATTCGGACAGAGAGATCCGATCTGATGGCTTGTCCCTATCACTGGCTAATAGCCAAGAGACGATTTGCATACTTTTTGGTGGCACGTCATCCACTATCCTTCCTTATTTGGATATAATAATGCATCTTCAATAATTGTTTCTAGTTGAAATTTCAACATTTCAGTACTGAGAGAGTAACAAGGAACAAACACATTTTCATTTTCTTTGTTTATAAGTTATAACGAATGTTTATCTGGTTTTCCTTATTAGTTCATGAACTGCAGAAATTTGTGATACATTTAGGAGGGACAGTGTAAGCCTAAAGCCAATAGAAAGTATTCATATTAAATATTTAAATTACAACCGTCATTACATAAACCCCATAATAATTCGAGAAACAAAACAGAGATTTTGATTTATTTTTGGGTTAAAGAAGAAGAGTGATCTGTGATCTTAATTCCTTAAACTTAATCGATGCATATAATGGTCGGGTCACAGCAGCATTCATCCACCAAACAGCAACAACACAGAGCCGCTAATCTGCAAACCAAAGACATACAACACACATTACAATAGTTTTAAGACAAAAGCCTCTCACAACTTTGTGTACGATCTATGGGAGACAAAAAAAACGATGATATATCAACATTGACATCATTCATAAATTGCAAATTTATTTGAGCTTTTCCACTAAGTTAATCAAATAACTCCTTAGTGAGCTAAGATGATTAAAGAAACAAAATTATCTAATGAAACGTAAACAGAGCACTTACAGTCCTTCAAGAAAACCAGGTTTCCGCTGTGGTGGTGCAGGTGGCGGTGGCGGAGGATAATACTGCGGCGGTACTCCCACAGGCGGCTGAGGATAATACTGCGGAGGTACTCCCACTGGCGGCGGCGGACCTTGCGGGTAGTTTCCTGGTGCCGGATAAGGATATGCATACTTTGGATCACTCATATTTTGGCTAGAGAATACTTTTCAAAACTAAAAAAATTATGGTATTTTGAATAGCAAAACTAATAATTTCGGAAGCTGAGAAAATAAGAGTAGAGAGAGAGATCACAATATTTAGAGCGTAAGTGTTGTTGTCTTTTGTCGACGTGTATTTATATTTGCCAAAGAATACAATTGAAGATAATTATTATACTAAAATAAAAATGTCTTTTTCGGTAAGAATTTGTGGAGATTTTGAGAATAATCCTGAATAAGTATACTGAAAAAGACGGTGGGAGAGTTTCAAACTCAAACGTATAGGAATCTGCTTTGGTGGAAGATTCGAGAGAGGTGAGGAAGCATCGGTGGTGATGCAAAGGCGAAGCAAAGTGGTTTGCTTTTGGTTTTGGAGTTTTCTTATTCTTTTCTTTCCATAGTTTGCCATTCTCCAAGATTCCTCAAAAACTTGTTCACACATCATATGATGAAACCAATAGGTAATTAGTATTTCAGATTATTCGATACTCTATTCATTTTTATGCTTCATTGACTTCAATTAATACTGAACACATAAACACGAAAAACATCGCCTTCATGCACAAGATAAAAACGAAAAAAATTCAATGATATGTACATATGTGGATGACATAAACCACAAAAAAGGATTATGTTATATCATATATGACTCAAAAGTTGAAAATCTCGGATGTAAGAAAATGCAATAAAAAAAATGCAATAGCAAGAATTTGTAAAGTAAAAAATAATGGAGGACGGTTGTTGGGATAATGACTGACAATATTTATCTTTGATCTCGAGCTTTATCAATGTTTAATTTTCGGTAAGTTTTTCTTTATTTGGTTCATAGTAGATGTTTTCTGTATTGATTCATTTAATAATTTTTAGATGTAGTGTGGGTTAGTGCGTGCAGCTTTCTTGCGTTGGTCCCAAGTCCACGACGATAGAGTTTCTGCACTTCACGGCATCGGTATCATCACAAGTTTTTTTTCATCTTATGATAATATCGGTACAAGTTAGCTAATTATCTTGCGCAAGTTAGCCATGTTGTCCCTCGTGTCATGATATGATTGGCTGTATTTGGATATACGAAACAACCGAAATTTCTGTTGGAGAGCCTTGCTCGCAAAGAAACACGCACACCTACTCCCTTCATTCTTTATCCTCTCCTTTGATATCTTCTATTACTATATAATATAACACACATCTGATCAATCTCTCCAAGTTGCACTCAAAACCTTATACAAAGACCCATCAATGGCGCCATCAGCTCCGACGTTCATGCTCTCTCATCCTCTGATTCAGCAGATAACTAGAAACAACACTCTGCAGCCACAACGGGAACCATCATCAAAGATAGTCAAATGTCTTCTTCCGGCAAGAAACTCATCGGAAAGTTCTGGTTTCTCCAAGTTTAGTCTTTGGCTGTTTGGTGATCCCGCTACATACGACAAGAGGTTCCAAGAAGCTGTTGAACTTAATTGCTCGTGATTTTCATACTTTCTTCTTTGTTTTTGTAAATGAGCATAGTTTAATTTCTTCCATAAAACAACCCTCAACTGTAATTTATACATAAGAAGCTTTCTTATCTGTGTAATATTCGATCAAGTATTTTTATTCCGCAATATTTCTCAGACTTGCATAATTTAAAGACAAAATGTTTGGTAACTGATTGAAACATGTGTTTCTTAGTTGCTACAATTCAAGAAAACACATTATTTTAAATCCTTGACAAGTCATTAAAGAGGATAATGATGATGATGACGATGATGATGATGATGATGATGATGATGATGAATGATTACAAGAGTCTTCATTTGTAAAGCTGCTTGAATCTCCGACATGCCTCTAAAATGTTCTCTCTGTGACCAAAGGCGCTAACACGAACAAACCCTTCACCACCTGGTCCAAACCCACTCCCTGGAGTTGTGACCACATGAGTCTTCTCCAGAATCTCAGCAAACACATCCCATGAGCTCTGCTTCGGGAAGTGAACCCACACATACGGCGCGTTCTTCCCTCCATACACATCATACCCGAGAGAAGTGAATGTGTCGATGATTATGTTTGTGTTTTCCTTGTAAAAACCAATCACCTTGTGCATTGCCTGCAAAGTTTCAAAGACACACAAAAATCACCACTCCATGTATATTATCTTGTGGGAAACTGAGTTAAGTTTCGAGATCAATCTTTAGCTAATAAGCTAACCTCAAGTCCTTCTGGAGTAAGGCAAGCAAGAGCACCAGCTTGAGAGAGATTAGAGGCACCATTGAAGCAAGTGCAGACAATTCTATTGAAGTCCTTTGCAACTGGGAAGCCGTCTGAATAACGCAGCTGTTTCGGAATGACGGTCCAACCGAGTCTAACTCCAGTGAAACCGGCATATTTGCTGAATGAAGCCGTCTCCAGAGCGACCTGTTAAGAAAGTTGTTAAGAAAACGGACTTTGTAGAAAGCTCTAGATCAATCATTTCTATTACCTCCTCTGCTCCAGGGATTTCGAAAATGGAGCGTGGATTGTCATCAGACATGTACATTGCGTAGGCAGAATCATACACTATTATCGATCCGTTCTTCTTTGCAAACTCAACTAACTGCTTCAGCTGCTCTCTCGTAGCAGCCGCACCGGTAGGGTTATTTGGAGAGCAGAAGAAAATGATATCAGTCCTGCCAACGGTGGACAAGTCTGGAAAGAAGCCATTCTCTGGAGTGCATTTCATGTACTCAATGTTTCCATACTTCTGCACATCAGTGTTGAATTGCCCGGTCTGGCCCATAATAACACTGGAATCGACATAAGCCTAAGTACCAAAAACAAAAAACGATAAATCACAGTTGAGTTGAAACGAAGCAAAAGTAGACAAGACAATAAATGCACTTTGGTCTCGTATCTGTTCAATTACCGGGTATGAAGGATCCTGAACAGCAACGGTAACGTTGGAACCAAACATAACCTGCAAGAAGTGGAATCAAGAAACAACTGCTCAGTTTTCATAATCGTGTATCACTTTAAGGATGAACAGGCAGACGTAATACAAACCTGGAGACGAGAGATATCACACTTAGCACCATCAGAAACAAAAATGTCATCCTCCCCTATGCCAAGGCCGCTGTAGAATCCATTAGCAATAGCAGCTCTCAGTGGCTGTTCAAATGTGTGAAAATCAAGGTTTAGAATTATGATACAAACATGAAACAAGTCTAACTAAATCCATATTCTCTTGAATTCAGCAGCAGTTGAGGACTATCCACAGTAAAATTATAAAATGACTTGCAAAAGCACATAATAATGAAACAATAAGAAGATTTTGCATTAAGGTGGCAATGAAGCGTGCACTGACCTTTGCACCTTGTTCAGCACCATAACCACTGTATCCCTCTATTGTGGACAACTCATGAGCTTTCTGCCAGAGAAATAAAAAGATAATTAATCTCTAGGAATTACATGCTTTCTTGAATATATAAGTTAAGATAAGGATGTACCTTTGCCATTGCAGAAGTGATGACTTCTGGAATAGGCTCAGTGGTATCACCGATTCCAAGACTAATAATCTGTGCGTCAGGGTATTTCAGCAAGTGTGCAGACCTTCTTCTTGCAATCTGTTTGCATTTGGCAAAAGCAAGACTTATTGATTCATATTTCAGATCACTGCAAGCTTTCAAAAATGTTTTTACTTTGTACCAATTACAAACCTCAGGGAATAGGTATCCAGCCTGAAGTTTTGACATGTTTGAATTCCGTGACACATTTGTCTTATACTCTACATACAGAACACAAAATATTGTCAAGCAATATATCATTAGCAAATTAAATATCTCACTAATCATTACAGCAAAAAAAAAAAAGGACTCTGTTTTGAAAGAACTACCGATCTTATCTTGCGGTGTTGCAACGCATTTGCACGTATTGACCCGTTTTGGCATGGGTAAGCAACCATTTCGAGCTCTGAAGCACAAAAAGCAGAAACAAGAGAGCAATCATCATTATCAAATGCAGTGTCCTATGTTGAAAGTTGAAACAATATCACTCAACATTGACTTCACAATCATTTTCGTTACCATTCCAATTTAACAAAACCAGAGGGTAAAAGACAAATCATTTTTATCGAAGTATGACTTCCAAGTCATTTCATCCTTCTAAACAGAGAGTACGGGGGGAAAATTGACAAACCTGAGATTGAAATTTGAAGGGGCTAAGAAAGTGGATGAGGAAGAAGAGATCATCGAAGAAGTTAATTGATGGGTCAACGACATTTTCCCGCTTCGCTCAATAATTTCACCGGAGAAAAATGGAGGAAATGAGGCAGGCAGTGACACTACAAACGTGTTCTGGGTTTTAGTAAGACAATCTAGGGTTCTTCTTCGGTTTGGTACGAGGGGAAAGCAACCCGGTTTCGGTTCCGGTTTACTATAATTTTTTTGGTTATTCAGTTGATCTTTAAATTCAGTTGAAACAAAAAAACCTCTCTCTCTCTCTCCTCTGTTCGACAATTTTGCTCTGCGCCTGCTGGGAAACGCCGAGGAATCGCACGATTCTGTGAGCCTTTGATAGCTGCGTTAATTCAATTTACTGGTAAATGATCTCCTCCTCGATCACAATGCTAGAGCAATTGGGTTCCTCAAAATACCCTTTTTTGTTGACCTTTGATATGTTTATTCGTCTTCGTCTTCTTATCATTGATTTCGAGTCAAAAGAACATAGCTTTAGCGGAATTACTAATCTTTGGGATTCAAGGTTGTCGAAAGCCTTATGCTTTCATAGTCGAATCAGGTTAAAAAAATGCGTGCTTTAGATAATTCTGTTATGTTATTCCATCTTTGACCCAGATTGAATTGGCTAGAAGAAACCACAAACGTTTTTGTTGCTCACTTCTCTTGATTTGGAGAATTAAGGTCTGAAATTTATCGTTTGCCTTGGGTTTTGTTCCTTTTCTAACAGTTGCTTTCTGTGGAATTAGATGGATCTGGAGACTGAAAATCGAATAGCTTCGATTCTTCTAAGAGAAGCAGCAGAATTGAGAAAACAAGCTGAAAAAGAAGGAATTCGAGCATATCTTGAAAAGCCTAATGTAAGGCATCGACCTAACTCGAGATTTCTCACTGCTACTGTTCTTGGCGTGCAGCAAGGTATCATAAACTCAAGATTTCTCAAAGGCTATTTCAAACGTGTTTTGAGATTCCAATTTTAACATTACAATTCAAATTTGCTTACTTTTCGTCTCTTATACGTTCCTTCTTTGCGTCGTACAGCAAACAAAGCTATAGAAACCAGTGAGATGTGGAAGCTTCGAAGTACAGAGATTGAGTTTGACGAGAGGCTCAAAAGAAAGTCACGAGAAGAGAGCAGTAGTGGCCAGAGTGAGCAGAACAATAGGAGGAGTTTTGTTAGGAGATGCACTTCAGCTGATGAGAATGTTACTCGTTCTTCATCATCATCATCAAGCCAGAGCAGATATAAAAGACTGCAACCTGAAGATGATGAGGAAGGCTTAGGAGATGTCGAGATTGAGACTTTTCTCCAATCAAGGTATTTACTTTATACTCAATCTAGATAGCAGATTCAATGAAACGAATTGAGAATCAGCTTTTTGTTGTTTAAACTTGAGATAGGGTCAAGCGTGGAAGAGGCTCTGTTGGTCCTAGGATGATGGATGACACATTCCCTTGTCGTCCTGAGACGGAGCTGTCAAGAACTTCTGATAAAGGAGATCGGAAGTTAGTGATTCAGCCGGAGAGATCGCCTTTATTGAGACGCGAGAAGGATTATTCTTCTTCTTCTTCCGAGGAGGAGGTTCATGGGCGTAGTCAGAGGAAAAGAAAGGAGCATAAGAAGAAAAAACACAAGTCGAAAGAGAAGAAAAGGGACAGGAAGAAGAGAAAACATCGTAGGGACTAGAATCTTCTTCTCTGGACTAAAGCAACTGTATTTCCTTTTACACTTGGAATGATGTTTGTTTGAGTACATTGATCATTTTTTCATATTTGTAAACAAAAATTGATGATCATATAGAGAAACTTGCATAGTACGAAGCACACCTTATATCATGAAGAGAACCTTTAAATAGTACGAAGCACATAAAAATTCGGTAGCTCAGTCACAAGTCAAAAGAAAATGAAAAAAGGATAGGGACAAGATAAGTGTTGAAAGACGTGGCAGGGCCTAGTTCTCATTCACTGGACTAAAGCTATGGCGTTTACAACGACAATGGTGTTGTGAGCATATGGCTATATTGATGGCTGAAAACAGAGACAAGGTCATGGCACTGTCAGGAATCTTCAAAATGGTGATCCGTTTCGTCAAAGATCTCCTCCTGTAACCACAAAACAAAAACAAAAAAGTCCAGTGAAAAAAGGATGTTTTAACTTCTGATTTGGTAAATTGTAGGAACATATCCTTACCTGCAGAAGTTCTTCAATAATATCCTCCATTGTAATGATTCCAACAGCTTCTTCTTCCTCAGCTAGTTTGGGCAGCGGATTGCCATCTAACTGCAGGATGTCTGCATCGTTGTCCTTTGACCACTTCTTGGTCTTATTTCTCTTAAACGAACTTGCTCTATTTGGAAAGCTCTTCCACTTTTGAAGCGATCTCTTTGTCCTCAGCATTCTCTCATGAGGAGTTCCCACACCATCCACATCAACTTGGACTTCCTTAACACTCTCTATGAGACACCAAGGCAAAGATTCTCTCAAACTTGAAACTCGGTAAAACCATGTCATTTAAACTAATGAAAAAAAAAAGCAGATTACCTTCTTTAGCAACTTTACTAGGTAATGGGTGGATTTTGTCGCACTGCCTCACAACAACAGCCATGTGGCTGAGTCCTTTCTGGAACTCATTCAATATGTCATATAAAGGCAAGGTTTCTGGAACTCTAAAACAAAAGCAAAGACATCAGCCTTTGAAACATATTCAGTGGATTTCATTGCTTAGATTCAGATATTTCACCTTGGAATCCTTCTTATTGTGACATTCTTGACTGGTATTTCTTCATCTGGGTTGATAGTCAGTAAGTTCTTTACCTGAAAGATATGAAATATGAATATGGTTAAAAGCAGATACTGGCCAATAAAGAAAAACATTATAGAGGAAGTATGCATGAGACTGAGTTTTACCAGAACAAGGCCGATGATGTTAGTAGGCTGCTCATAATATACTGGAACTCTGCTATGCCCTTTCTCAAGAATCAAGTTCATCAAATCTCTATATCATCAAAGGAACAAAGAAAAAAGCTTTAGTATGAGAAGAATAAAGACTCCAAGGCAAGTGTGTTTCTGATATGATAGTTCTCTGAGGAATCACAAGACAAAAACCTGTCTAGTTTGGCATTGATATCAATCACAAAGATATCAGATATTGGCGTCATAGCATCCTTGACCATTTTGTCAGAGAGTTCAAGAGCTCCCGCAATGATTGTAGTCTCGTCGTGAGTCAACTCTCCGCCCTTTCCAGCCTGAAAGAAAAAACATAAAACTAAACAACATGACATAGAAGAGAGAGATACAAAAACTTGTCATCTTGAAGATTGGGGATCAAAATCGAATCCACACCTCATTTCCATGAAAATCAACAAGTGTTTTCAGCTCAGCTCTTCGGAAAAGCGCTGCACGACGATGCCCCAATAGAAAGTCTAGCAGCTGGATCATTCAAAGTGCCCAAAAAAATGTATTAAAACGAGAAAATGTTCAAGAGATTGGTTAAATGTATTTTTACCTTGCTGATAGGCCATGCAACTGGTAAGCAAACAAAGACTAGGACACGGACAAACGGAGCCACTGTTGCACCAATGGCCAAACCATAACGTGAACAAATGGACTGAGGTATAATCTGCAGTTGCAGTAAAGCCAAACCAATCAATGTTGATACTATCTTGATTGAAAATGCTCAGAAACTGTTATCCTTGTTGAATAGTGTTACTAAGAAAGACTAATCTTACCTCACCAAAGAGAAGAATCAATGTAACTGAGATCAAAATAGCACCCCATGCCGTGGTAAGTCCATCAAGAAATATAGGAAGCGTCTGAAAAGACAAGCCATTTACTAACATCAAACATTTTCGACACCTATATAAAATAATCACAATGAGCTAAGTGGTAAAGAAGTTTATAACATTACCTCCATAGCAGCTGCGTTGCATATAAGTAAAGTGACAAGCAACAGATGCTGATTCTTTACCACTGGCAATATCTTTGCTGCACCAAACAAAAAAAAAAAAAACACTTCTCCATCATTATCAGAGAGAGTTCTTAAAAGACATGACAACAGCCGAATCATTAATCGTAATTCCGTGACAGCGTTTATGTCATTTGAAAAGTAAGAATAACGTCACAGTCGCTAATGTTTAAACTCACACGCTGAAATTGAATATTACAGAAACCAAACTCGTCCCAATTTTGGCAGATGCGTTTGCAAGTAAAAACAATTCGAATACGAAACATCGGAAACAAAAAGACTCTCGCGACATATAGCTACGCATTTCTAAGCCAATCGGAATCATCCGATGGTGAAAGAATCAAACTTTACTTAGCGAAATAATCGGGAAAAGTAGAAGCACGAGTAAAACGAATCGAATCCTGGGCAAAATGGGAACTTTAAAAATAGAAATGAAAAAAAGAGAGAGAAGAAGAAGAAAGTTTACCAGCATAAGTGCGATATTGGGGAGTGCCGGATTTGGCGAGAACCTCAAGATCAACGAGACTCATAGACATAAGACCCAATGTCAAACCAGACATGAGCCCAGCGAACAGCACGAGAAACACAATCACAGCTATATGTATGAAGAAAGGAGGTTCACAACATTTATACTCAATCGTCATCGAAACCCCCTTCTTACACTCCTCAAAAGCTCAAGAAATCAGAGAAAAACACTTAGAACCCTAGCTCACTCAGTGACTTGACATCTTCTTCACTCACCTTCTCCAAAAGTAACTAACTTTATAGGGGAAGAGACTGAAAACAGAGCAAGAACTCAATTCACAGCTGCTAAAATCGAAATCAACCACAGAGAGGCCTAAAGTGAAGCTGAGAAAGCGGTATCTGATTAAAGTAACTTTGTGAGAGAACTTTGCAGAGAAAGAGAAGCGAAATGTTGGAGAGATGATAAAACCAAAAAGAGCTCATGCGGTGGAGATCCTCTGGATATATAGGGCCCGGCGATTAGATATATAATGACAATAATACCCTTGTATCTGAGAGCGACGTACGTGTGGTGGGGAAGGGTGTTTTAATAATTTGATATGTAGAGTCCATTTTGTTACTGATGACGCGGCAATTAGCTGGTTTTCCCGCTATACGTAGAGAATTTTAATCCGATACGGTTTCTCGCAAGAACACTTTTTGTGTGTCGTAAAACTGAAAATTGTTCCTAGGCTTCGTGAAGTTTTTTTCCCTTCGTTTTTTGTTTTTTTCCCTCAATTTGACTTGATAAATTACCTTTTTAATGTGATTATGGTTTATGCAGTTCTCTTATACTAGTACTCATCTAAAGTGATACGTATAACCACTATTACAAGAAAGATCTCATTATTAGCAACTTTTTAGGTCGGCGAATCCTTTTACTTTAGTGAGCAATATCATACTCAATATAATATTTGTTTTTGTAGTTCTCCATACATTTTTTTTGTTGTTTACTGTTTTCCTTTGTGGCCGTGCATTTTCTTTAACAATTTCACAATATTGTATGAGAAACCAATTAAAAAATTACATATTTTTAAGGCAAAATATGTTTACGTGCACAAAAGAGAATGTGTTAGAAGTTTTTTTTTCTTTTCTCATGAACACGTCGTGGATATCGAAGCTAGTCTTCTGCTTTTCTTCTTCTGTCTCTTCTTTTCTTAGTTTGGTTGTTTCACTATTCTCATCAAACTTCTTTTCTTTTAACATCTTCTCATCAAACTTGATATTGGATTAAGTGTATGTTTTCTATCTTTTTCAGTTATTCACTATATGATTTGTGGATCATAACTTTGTAATCGTTTTTAAACAGAATAATTAACAAACAAAATAAAAGTTGCTGCGGGTTTTTTACCAGTTAATTACTGTGACTTTTACCCCTTTTTAAGATTAAACCTATATTTTAATAAGCATTATCGCCATGCATTCACCGCGACCTAGTAAGGTCATAGTAATTAACTAGCATAAAACATAGAAATTATCCAGAGGATAAAAACAAGGAATGTAAGTGTATTCTAATGTTTTGGTGCTTCAAAGTCTTTATTGGATAACAATAAACAACATATATGGAAAGATTTGAAGAAATTGCTCGTATTGTTAATAATTTATTGATTGTTTCAGTCAAATCCTTGTTTTAACTTTACTTACGAAGAGACAATTCCAAGGTTATCTGACCCCTTCAAGTAACTGACTCGGTAAAACAGATTACATGCAAGCAAATAAAAATTACTACAAGTCATGTATTCGCGCGTTGGCCAACAAAATATCTAGCAACGGAAACTCTATATATATCCTCGTTTCTAACCCAAAGCTAAAACGCACAACACATAGTAAAAGAGTTCATATATAGACAACTACGGGGGAAAATGAAGATGTTTAACTCTTCTCAAACCCTAATATTCGTGGTTATAGCTCTCGTCCTAGCTTTTGCAGTTCCTCTGAAAGCCCAAGACCGGCCACAAGACTACCTCGCTGTACACAACCGTGCTCGAGCCAGAGTTGGTGTCCGTCCTATCAAATGGCATGCGGACGTGGCGGCATACGCCAGACAATATGCTCGGCGAAGGCGTGGGGACTGTCGTCTCGTTCACTCAGACGGGCGTTACGGTGAAAACTTGGCAGGGAGCACTGGTGACTTGTCCGGAGCTGCCGCAGTGAGATTGTGGGTCAGCGAGAGGTCTGACTACTTCTATGATTCCAACACGTGTCGCTCAGGAAAAGCATGTGGTCACTATACTCAAGTTGTGTGGAGAAACTCGGAGTGGGTTGGGTGTGCAAAAGTCAGGTGTAACAATGGTGGAACCTTCATCATTTGCAGTTATTCTCGTCCTGGTAATGTTAGGGGCCGTAAGCCTTACTAAGTATATGTACGCAGACGAATAAAACTTGTCCATTATAAAGGACGTGTGTGTTTCTATAATTTCAATAAATGATCATCATCTATCAGGATATGGTGATGATTCCTATGTGTGTATGTTTTGTAAACATATGTTTCTTTTTTTTCTTATAAGATAACGTGATGGAGTATTTGATATAAATGGATGTTTTATTGTTTTAGTAATACGTATAAATAAATAACTAAATGAATTGCGTGCGTAGCTGCAAACATGGCCGATCATGCATTGCGAGTTACGAATATTTGAAATTGCATGTAGGAATAGTTCCCATATATAATTAACTTTCACTTTTGATTTTGTTTCCGTTGATGAATCACACGTGCACCTCTCTACAAGGAAAATACAGTAATACACTCGGTTTCTTTAAGTAGTAATTTCAGATTTACATTAATAGTCAATTAGCTTAAACTATAATAATAAATTATAAATTAACAGACTGTTTGAAACATTTGTTGATACTAAATGGCCATCTTGTTAAATAAAAGCCATCATCACAAATACAGTAGATTTTAAAATATTCGCGATGGCTTTGGCCATCCTAGATCGGAATACACAAAAGTCAGAGATGTGAAACTCCAACTGCTATGCTCTAATTTAAGCGTTCCCTCATTTCTCCTAATTATTAATTTAAAAACAAATTGAATGATGAAACATATTACAGTATAAACTCTATAAATTAATAATGTCGGACATAACATATTTTATTAATTTAATGAAATATTAATTTATCGAAAGATTATTGGATCAAAAACTTAAGTTGGGACCATACAATTTTATTGATTTACTGAGTTATTAATTTATCAAGTATTAATTTATAGAGTTTCTACTGTACTGTAGAATACTATGCAGAATGTGTGAATGATGATTCTTATTGATTATACAGAGCATGACGAATCCTAAGAGTAATTACAGAGATATCGATCCTAGAGTTAATACACAGATATTGGAATAGCGTAATTACAGGAAGAGCTCAATCAAGGTAATCAGAATTATCTTCTTTCCATATCCTCAATAATTACTTGCCCATGTATGTAATCATTATGACGCTTCTCAGGGATTTAACGAGAATAATTTTAACTTACTCAACTGGCCAACAATTTTAGACCAAAGACGCTTACTTTTCTAATTGTTAGTTTGTAAATTATTTTAATTTTTGTGGTAAACCAATTAACAATATAAAACTTACAAGTGCATATTTTGGAACTATATATAAATAAATAAAAAACGTTCAACAAGTATCCATGCCAAGTTCTATATAATTTGGCCTCAATCTTCATTTCTAAACCCACAAAAACTTAAAAGCTCTAAACGTCAAAAAACAAAAAAGATGAAAATCTTTAACCCATCTCAGAACCTAATCTTAGCCACGACCATTATCCTAGTTTTTATTGTTCCCCTAAGAGCCCAAGACAGGCCACAAGACTTTTTGGCAGCTCACAACCAAGCACGAGCCGAGGTTGGAGTGGATCCCTTAAGGTGGGACGACCGGGTGGCTGCTTATGCTCGCGACTACGCGAACCAGCGTAAAGCTGACTGCGCTCTGGAACACTCGAGCGGGCAATATGGAGAGAACATCGCTTGGAGCAGCGGTCGCATGTCAGGCGTTGAAGCGGTTAACATGTGGGTGAAAGAACAGGATGACTACGATTATGATTCCAACACATGCGCTTGGGACAAAGTGTGTGGCCACTATACTCAGGTTGTGTGGAGAAACTCGGTGAAGCTGGGATGTGCAAAAGTGAGATGTAACAATGGTCAAACCTTTATTACTTGCAACTATGATCCTCCTGGTAACTGGAATGGCGAGTGGCCTTACTAAAACCAAACAAAAAAAAACTCGTTTGTATGTTTCAAAGTTTCTGTCATATATACCACTTATGTTTTCTGTTTCTATAGTTGTTCAGTCATACCAATCTTCTATCGCCAGCTAATAATGATTGGTTTGTCCGGTACTGTCGGTTCTCTTTTGTACCATATAGAAATATGTTGATTTTGTAATGGAATAAGAAAAAGGCAATGCTACGGCTTGCACTTGCTTTGTTTTACTACATGAATTCTCCTCTCTTTTGTTTTTTGCTTATGAACAACGTATTTCAGTCTTTTTTTCTAATATATAGATCTCTTGTAACTACGAATTAAAATGTGAAAAGACATTTTAATCTGTTGCGTTTTACGTTTCCATATTAAAAAAAATATATATATATATATATATATATATATTTTTTCCTGAAATATACCAAATATTTTAAGAAAGTATTATAAACATACAATTAAAAATTATATTAACTTTTAAGAGGGAAAATCCCATAAAAATACTTACTATTTATAGTTAAATCCAAAAAATACAAAATCATCAGAAAACAAATGCTAAATTATTTAAAGGCTAGAATAACTGAACCCTTTACTTTTCATCTCCATATGGATATACACTCTTCCAATGATTATTAGAGAAACAATAGTCTTGCATGCGTGGTTTTAATTGATAGTTTATCGAAGTCATATCAAAGTGATTTGTAAACTCCTTGTGGGTTAGGTGAGTCTCTTCTCGTACCCACAAATATAAGGTAGAAAGCCGAATCGCTTCCGGGAATAGAAATTCATTGGTAGCTAACTAACTATATTATATAGTCAGGTAAGAAAAATATGTTCAGTACAGTTTTCTCTTTTTTTGTTTGATAAAGAGCTATCTGATATTGTCTTCCCACTCCTCTCAGAGAATATAGTATAGTGGTTAGAAGATGACTTCAATTATTCGGAAGATAAACTATAGATAAATAATGTGAATTCTAGATAACACTACACGGAAGGACTTTGATTTGCATTAAATAATATTTTTTTTACTGACATCGTCTGAAATGGCACGTCACCTGGCTGCTTTGGTAATGAGGCTATGCATTATAATTCGTATACTATAATATTTAAATATGAACGAACACTTCATTGTGATTCATCAGTTATTAGAGAATATGCCAATGGGGTTGGAATATAAGACTTAAGAGAATAGCCCAACGAATTTTAAACCTTTAGCTGAATTGTTTAAGCCGTTTCCCAATCAGTCGTTTTTGTTCAACTACTGATTAGGACTTATTTTGAACTCACGACTTAGTTTTTCCATAGCGATAAGGTATATAACTAAGGATCGTTGTGCACTTGTGCGGTTAGATTGACATATCAATTTAGGAGGTGAGCTTTAGCTGTGTCTTTGGCTCTGGTCGAACCGAAAGATTCTTATTAAAATGGAAAGTGTCTTTGGCTCTGGTCGAGTACCGAAAGTGTCTTATTAAAATGGAAATTTTCGAAGTTTAGGATGTTGGCTTTTCAATCACAGAACTCTCCTTTCATGTAGTTCTGCATTCTTTATCTTCTTGATAATTTATAGACTTCGTCACTTCGAATGACTAGGTTATCTATAGTCGTCCATTACCGACCATTTTTAATCTTTTCTGTCTTTAATCGTAGCATTATTTATAATCACAGCCAAAGCCGATAATTTTAAAGATATCATTCCATAATCCATAGCCGTCCGAGATACCATGATCAGTATATCAGCTCTATAAACATTCCACCTTTTTGCACACCTAGCTACAAAACCCTAACAACGTGCGAACATCATTTCACAAATGTTTGAAAATAATGTATAGTCAATTTACCTGCAAACGTGAGACCAACTAGGCTATAAAGTATAATTATCATACATGTAATACACAAGTATCTTAAACTTTGTATAAGTATCCATCAAGAACACACGAAACTCATATCACATAATTGTTCAATCCATTTACAAGGCAGACAAAAACAAAAACTTCATTAAAATGTTTCAAAAGGTTTTTATAGAAACTTTGGTTCTCTTCCTTCTCATCAGTTGCTTGACCCAAATCAATGTGTCCGCACAATACTCTCAATATCAGCAGTCCCATGATTCTCCTGATAGCTACCTCAGACCACACAATGCAGCCCGAGCTGCGGTCAAAATCAAGCCTCTTAGATGGGACTCTGGTATAGCCAATGTGGCTCAGGATTACGCAAACCAACTAGCGGCCGGGTCATGCAGTCTCGAACACTCCTCTGGACCATATGGAGAGAACCTTGCGTTGGGCAGTGGAGACATGTCGGCCGCTCAGGCGGTTTCGATGTGGATAAATGAGAAGTCGGATTATGATTATTACTCAAACTCGTGCCATGGTTCCGCGTGTGGACACTACACGCAGGTCGTATGGCGTGGGTCAGCTCGACTCGGTTGTGGTAAGAGTACGTGTGGTAACGGTGCAAGTATTATTGTGTGTAACTATGACCCTGCAGGCAATTATATTGGGACTAAACCATATTGATTACAAATTCAATGGACGAATGAGTGTGTATAAATTGTTGTATTACTTTTCTTTCGTTATTTGAGAATTCAGTGCATGAGAAAAACATTCTTCATTTGTATAATATATGAAGGCATTAAAAAAAGTTAAAGCTGTATGAATAGCTAAATAAAAATGTTAAACGACTTTCCGTTTTATTGCATAATCGCAAATACGGGAGAAGGCAACCAATTTGTGTTCAAATACTCTCAAAAATCAAAATAAGAGTATCAAAATCAAGAGCATACCACACGTCCACAAAGTTAATAGATACTCTTATTTTGATTTTGAGTTTTTTTTTTTATTGAGCAAAGTGGGTGTTTCATTTTATAAAGTTCAAAGAAAAACTTACAATTGTGGAAACATAAAGGTGCTGTTTTATTTTCATTGTAACCTTTGTAAAATCCAAGAAATATAGTAATTGGTTGAAGATTTACTAAATCTGTTTACTTGGTCTCATTAATTGGAAAAAAATAAAAGGACCTCTCCAACAAAAAAAAAAAGAAAAGAAAAAAGACAAAGAAAAAGAGAAAAGAGCACAACATTAGACGATATACCAAATGTGTAGTTGCTCTCGTGGCTCGGCAAATATATTTCTTTAGACTAATGTGGTCTTGACCCCTTCTCTAGTAACTTTGACCACTTCCAGAATGAGTCATGATCAGACACTTGAGTTTTTAATGCAACAGCATTTTCTGACAAACCATCTTATTTAATTTAGTTTGAAATAATCACCTACTTCGGTTTGTAATTTCAAATTCAATTTTTTTTTTGTCGTAGGGGTTGAAACTTTTTGTATGAAACGTGATTTAACTGATTCAAAAGAAAAAGCATCAATGTTGTTTATCCCATTTTTTTTGTTTGGAAATATACTTTCTTGAATTATTTTCAAAAATTGGAGGTTGTGTTTACATAGAGTTAATTTCACCAATCAAATATGATTAGAATGATATTATTTTCTATTCTTATTAGTTTCATGATTAGAACGAGTTCTAAAAAATTGAAAAAAAATATAGATTGCTTAATTATTGCAACTAATATTCGATATTAAAAATTGACAATAATTGAAAATAATTCCCCAAAAATAATTAAAAAAGAGGAAATAGACAATAGTCATCGCTTCACCCTCTTTGCGTTGTCTGGGCCTTACCTCTGTCCTTCACACTCTTTCCTTCTTCAAAGATTTCCTCTCTGTAGATTTGACCCAAGCTCAAAGGCTTCTCTGTCTCTTCTCTCAGGTAACTCTCTTAGTTACTCTCTTCCTCACAGAACTCCAGTTTTCTGTTTCAGTTGTCCCCGAATCTGATTCTTTTCCTGCATTATTTTTTTGTGGGTTTTATGTTCTTGTTCTTGCTGTAAATTTTTTAGCTGTTTTCAAGAAATAGGTTCTTGATTTAACTCCTCCAGATCGAAGTTTTACTCCATGCCCCTTCTTCTTCTCTACTACAAATTGTTCTTCGTTTAAAATTGTCTACAAATTTTGGGGGTTTTTGGTTCTCAGTTTCCATTTGCTGATTGAGGTTTCAATCTGTGTGGTTTGGTTTAGTACTCTCTTGACTCTGTACTTACTTGCATCATGGTTGCAATTAATTTGATTTGTTTTCCCTTTTGCATGTCACAATCTTTTACTGTTCTTTTTGGTTTTAATTGAATTCCAAAATCAAAACTTGATTTTCAGCAAAATAATCAAAACTTGATTTTCAGCAAAATTACATATTTTGACTCAGCAGCTCTGTTCGTAGGTGATTGCTAGTCTTACTTTATGAAAGCTCTTTATTAATGGTCTCAGGTTAGAAAATCGGAGTATGGTATTTGTATTGCTGTGAGAAGACTGAAGAAAGGATAGTTTTGTTGAAAGATGAAGAAAGCATCAAGCAGAAGCCAAAGAGGAAGCAAAGGTATCAAAGGGAAGCATATCCTGCAGATATGTGTTCTTCTTGGAGTTTGCATCTGGTTAATCTATCAAGTCAAGTATTCTCATGACAAGAAGAAGGAGTTCTACGAGAAAGATGGCGATAAATCTACTGTGTTGTCATCAGAGAGCAAAGACGGATTGGTGAAGCTTGGGAGAAAAGATCTTCTTCCAGGTTACCACAACCAGAACGAGAAGGAGAAGCACGTGGAGGAAGATGACGATGAAGAAGAGAAAGAGAGCAAGAGTAAAGTAGAGAATGGTAATCATGAGGAGGAAGAGAAGGAAGAAGAAGAGGAAGCAGCTGAGGAGGATGAAGAAGAGAAGAATAAGCAAGGAGAGGAAGTACCTGAGGAGGATGAGGATGAAAACAAGCATGAAGAAGATGAGATTGATGAACAAGACCGAGTTAAAACTGGAGGAGATACTGATGAGAAGGGTGATGAGTTATTTGAAGAAGAGAAGGAAGGTGGATCAAACGAGAGAGATGAGAAAGAAAAAGATACTGTGGATGAAGCACGCGAGGAGCATTACAAGGCTGATGATGCGTCCAGTGCAGTGTCACACGAGGCTCGAGTACTCAAGACTGAGAAGTTGAAAGAAAGTCCTGAAACAGCTCAGGAGAACAATGCCAATGCCACTGCAAGAGAGGTAGAGGCTCAGAAGGAGCCTGTCTTGAAGTCAGGAGAAGCTGAAAGCGGCGATTCTGTGGAGAAAGCAACCAAAGACAGCGAACCATCCATTTCCGAAACAAAAAGCGCGGTAACTGAGTCCACAGGTGAAACAGTTCATGGCAATTCGACAGAAGCAATTCTTGAAGCTTCAGGGTTTTTGAAGAATGAAACAGAAATCATGCAAGAACGCAGTCAAGAAGATGGTACACCTGAGCTACAGACTGTCTCTAAACTTGAGCAAACCCTTAATGGTTCTGATCCCAACATTACCAACAAAGATTATGAGTTCAAGAACTCAACTTCGGAGACTTCTGTTATTGAGAATATCTCAGGCTTGAACACAACTGAGGTGAATGAGAATTCAAGGTCTGAAGGTGATGATGAAATAGGTGAAAAGGAAAGTGCAAACCTTTTTTCCGCAGAGCAAATGGAGGACACGGATGATACTCCAGAAACCACAATATTGCAAGAGGAGAGAGAAGCTCTCACTGATCCACAGACTCTGCCGGATATAAGAATAGAAGGGAATGAAGAAGATGAAGAAGAAGCGATGGCAGCAGAGTGAAAGAAGCCCTCCAATGGAGAAAGAGAAGGATAAGTTAATGTGAATGTTTTCTTATGGGTTTTCCTGCTTTTGAAAGCTAAAAACAATCAGTGTCTGTCTCTCTGTTACTTTAGTTTCCAAAACTGTATATTCATCTTCAACTTTGGCTACGTATTTTCTTTCGCCTTGTCTTGAGGAAACTTAAGTTAAATACCAACAGTAACAGTAGAGGTACAGCTCAGCAATTAGTTGATAATTCTTTATCTGACCAGGACTTTCATGTTCGTTATAGATACATTGGGAATTATCAACTAGAAAATTGCACTTGTGGGTAAATACTTTTATGTTTTATAATCACTTCTGCAAATATCGTTTCAGCAAAACATCATTCCGACATTTCTACTTAAATCTCTTCTTGAAGCACCAAAGAGAACATGATGTTTGTTCTGAGAGCTACTATTTGGTGCGAATGGAGAGATCTTCAAGCTGCTTTGGATCGACTTCCGAGGGAGTTCTGGTTAGTGCACATTGCGCCGTAGTTGTCTTTGGGAAAGCTATTACATCCCTTATGGAACTCGCACCTCCCAGCATCATCACCATCCTATCCACTCCATAAGCAATTCCACCTGCAATTTCATATCAAATGATAATGTTTTATCAACCATGACCGATCTTGTTCAGCATCATCATCACAAGAGTAATAAGAGTAACATCAAAATATTGACTAAGTGACAAGAAATTTACATACCATGAGGAGGAGCACCCATGTCAAGAGCCTCCAGAAGATAGCCAAACTTTGCTTCAGCCTGTTTGTAGAATCAAAAGTGAGATAAAGACTTATATGTAAATATCAAAGTAATCCGTTTAAAATGAATAAAAAGAAAGTGATTCTCTCACCTCTTCAGCTGAGATGCCAATGATCTCCAAAACCTTTTCTTGGACGTCTCGTTTATATATCCTTAAACTTCCTCCACCAATCTGGTATACATCAAGACAGTTTATCAAAACATCTCCCAAACCATTGTTCCAGAAAAAGCAAACGGCCAAGCTGTTTTGTTTACCTCGACCCCATTATAGACCATGTCATAGGCGAGGGCTCGTGCAGAAGGTAAGTCATCTATATCTTCAGGCCTAGGAGCTGTGAATGGATGATGTAATGCCTACAGAGAAAGGCATTTCATATTAGCACACAACAAAATTTGGCCATTAATCTCATCTCACGCAAGGAATCAAATTATGAAGCGACGGACCTCAAGTCTCTGCTCTGCTTCATTCCACTCAAACATTGGGAAATCTGTTACCCACAGAATGGAGTGCTTGGACTATATAATAAAATAAAAATGGCATAAATCTGATGAACTGTTATCAAGTGGGAATAACAAGTCACTGGCCAATGAAGAAACTTACATGGTCAATCAGATCCATGTCATGGGCTACAAAGAGTCTTAACCTGTCTAGCGTTTTGTTAACAGAAGTAACAGGACCCACTCCAAATAATATAAGATCACCAGGCTCTGCTCCACATTGTCTCACCAAGTTTGTCTTACCCTTCGAATCTAAACTAGAAACTAATGCTGCAATTCCCTCGACCTCACCTGCATCACAAGTTTAGACCTCGTCAGGCTAAATGTACAAAGTATAGTCATAGGACAATGATTAGTTAAGAAAGACAAAGAGAAAGCAGTACGCATGATTTATCTGTTTACCATTATCCAAGACCTTCAAGAAAGGCAGACCCTTTGCTCCGGATTTCATTGCTTCACTGTTAATGTCTCCTTTTTTGAGAGCTGAGTTTGAATACTTTTTAGCACCCAGAGGCACACACAATGCCTTAATGATACCACCACTTTCAAGGGCCTCCGTAAAAACCCTGAAGGATGATTCTGTGAAAACATTTGACACCTGCAGTTTCAAAAACTTGGGATTTAAACTTTGAGATAGACTTCTAAGCTCCTGTACAAAATTGGGAAACAGCTCTAAAACGCACTTCCTGGTTTAAGGCATAACCAAGCCTAAGTAAAACAAAAGTAGGCAAAAAGACATATATCTACTTCTTTGTAACATTAACTAAATAACCAAGAGGCAGATTATATTACGTCTTTCAACTCAAGATCAAATCTTGTATCTGGTCTATCTGAGCCATATCGGTCCATTGCATCAGCATACGTCAGCCTTGGGAATGGATCAGGTAGCTGGATACCTTTGATCTCTGAAAAGACCTGCACAAAAAGGTCGAGAAAATTATAAATGCTGAAAGAGCATCAAACTAAGACTAAAGTGAAGAGATCCATATAGAAAATGAGGTTCAGAACTTCAGGACATGTAGGAATTACAAGAAACACATCACGAAGCAACAACTGGACAACATTGAGCTTGTCACAGAATAGATAAAGTCATACAGAAATAGCTCAGTCGAACCCTAACCTTACGGATAAGATCTTCATTCAGACTCAGCATGTCCTCCATAGGCATGAACGCCATTTCCATATCAAGCTGAGTGAATTCAGGCTGCCTATCAGCTCTTAAATCTTCATCTCTAAAACATCTAATAATATGGCAATAAAAAGCAAGAGAGAGAAAAAATCATTTTCATCAAGAGTCCTATTAATGAAGGTGATAAAGCCACTAATGTCAGGGAGTCTTATGCGGAACCAAGAGACAAAGATCATATGCATACCTTGCTATCTGGTAATATTTGTCAAAACCGGAGACCATTAACATTTGTTTGAAGAGCTGCGGACTTTGTGGCAAAGCATAGAATGTTCCTGACTTCGAAAGAGACATTTGACAGAATCAGATCTACAAACTATGATGAAACCCTATACTTGAGCCGAGATTGATTCTGTAACAGGAACTAAATCAAGACAAAAAGAAGTAAATGCACCTGAATCCTCGACGGAACCAGATAATCTCGCGCGCCTTCTGGAGTAGACTTAGAGAGTATTGGAGTTTCAATCTAACACATACAACAAACCAAGATGCAAAAGCGTGTTAAGACCCACAGCTGAAAATATACAAAAGAAAACTTTACAGAGCCTCTTTCAAATAGAGAGAGAATCACCTCAATAAATCCATGGATGTCTTCTAGATACCTCCTAATAAGCTTCACCACATTATGGCGAAGAACGATATTATTCTTCATCTGCTGACGGCGTAGGTCAAGACACCGGAATCTAACACCATACAAACAAAAAGCCAAAGCATCAGTAAACATCTAGAGATTCAGCACGAAAAAGACGAACCATCAAAGATAAGATCATACAGCTAATATTTCACCTTAAGCGGATTTCTTCTTTGATTGAATCTTTTGTCTCGTCTGAAGTAGTAACTAGGAAGGGAAGCTTTGACCTCACAGGATTCAGTATTTCAACGTGCTCTGCAACTACCTAGTGCCAACATACTAATCCGCATCAACTTTCGGAGAAACTCGAAACATATAAAAACGCAGCTAAGTGCTGATTGAGAAGAGAAGTCATACATACCTCAACGAATCCAGTTTTCATTTTCTTGTTGATGGACTCATTTGGCCTACTACGAACAGTACCTTCCACCGAAACAACGTACTCAAGCCTCATGTCATTGATCAAGCCATGTGCCTCAGGAAACTCATCCGGAAGCGTCCTAACCTAACATTACAAAAATTGTCAAACATAAACGAAGCATTCAGTCTCCAAATATGCATATCTTCGCGTCACACAAACAGAGTAAAAGTGCTGAAATAGATCCGAATCAAGGCTAAGGAATCAACACAGCTATAAAAACAAGTCAAATCAAGGAAGGGATTGAATCCAACACTACTTAATATTCAATACGAATCGTGCAATTGTTGAGAAGAAACTTCTAAATGCCAATCTACTGTTACCTAATACTTAACGGTTAGTGCAAAGTCGAAAACTTTGGGTGAAATAAGAAACCTGGACAATGCCGGTATGATCTCTGAGATTAAGGAAAGTGAGGCCTCCATGGACTCGGTGAAGAGCGACCCAACCGCAAAGGTGGACCCTTTTACAAACATCGTCGACTGATAACTCGCCGCATAGCTCTGTGCGCGATACCCATCGAAGAACCGAAGGAGAAGAAGGAAGCGGCTTCACAACGACGTCGCCGGAGGCAGCTGCGGCAGTGGAGCTGCAGAAGGTTCTTCGGATTCCGGGAAGTGGGTTTCTCCGTTTAGGTAGGAAGAATAAAACGGCGGCGTTTGAGGTGGATATAGCGGTGGCGGAGAGGAAACGAGAAAACGAAGCAGGTCGAAGAGGCAAAGTTCGCCGGAGGAGAGACATTGTTGGGACAAGAATAGCAAAAGGGAGGAGAAAGAAAGGTTTAAGGATAAATTGATCGAACCAGTCTCTTCACTTTGATTTGAAGTTAAACCAGTTTAAATTGGTTTGGTTCATAACTAACCGGAATCGTCAAAATGAGACTTTTGGTTCAGTAAGTTTCTCTTAGCCCTGGGCGTTCGGTTTTTCGGTTCGGTTCGGATTTTTCGGTTTTCGGTTTATTCGGTTCTAGAGATATAGAAACCGTTCGGTTTATTTCATTATATATTCGGGTTCGGTTCGGGTTCGGTTCGGTTTCATTCGGGTTCGGATCGGTTTCGGGTTCCGGAAATCCATTAGTTTATATGAAAATAAATTAAATTTTGCAAAAAAAATTGAATTTAAATAAATATTATTACAAGATTTAGGATATTTCAATTTTTTTGTTATTTTCTTCTAAATATAACTAATATATACAGTATAAAATTATAATTTAGATAATTTGGTTATTATAAAAAGAAATATAGCTAATTATTTATATATAATTATATTTCGGGTATCCATTCGGTTTTCGGTTTTGGTTCGGGTTCGGTTTCGGTTTTTCGGGTCTAGAAATGTAAAAACCGTTCGGGTTTTATGCCGGTTTCGGTTCGGTTCGGTTTCATCAAAATCGGTTCGGTTCGGTTCGGGTTTTTCGGTTCCGGTTTTTATGCCCATGCCTAGTTTCTCTTATAAACACACTAATCACATCTCTGGACTTTCACA